AGATTAAGACCTATTTATATACTAGATTCAATTTTTTTTCCTGTTTAACTGTACTATTTCTCAAAATACAAGTAGGCAGCTGTCTGTTACCTATAGCTAGGACATTTCTGAAAATGGGGCCTGATATGTATTATCCATAACTCAAGAATGTTGTGGCCAAGAATCTCACCAAACTCCTAATCCATGGGAGTATGGGCCAGGAGGCTACAGTAATGAGACGGGTGAACTATGATATTCTGAACCAGCAACTTCCCAGTAAACAGAGCTGTGCTGTATGAAGTAGCCCTGAGGGTAGACTCCCTCCACTAATATATACCATTTTTGGAGTTATTTAAGGAATGGGACTATCTGTGTCCTAGAGGACCAGCATGCAAAGACGGCTGAGTGTCTTACTGAAAGAAGAGGGTTATGAATCTGCCACAGCCGAGGCTCGCCTTTTTAAAAAGCAGGCTAAATAAGCAGCTACTGAAATAATATAGGTAAAAAGGACCTGCTAAGTGACCATATAAACAATTATGAATGTTAATATGGTATTTGTTTGGTTCATTATTTATTGAGCACCAGTTATAGCCAAATGCTGTAGATTCAAAGATACGCCATACCCCTATGAAAAAACTTAACAAATTCATTGTTAAGTCAGTACGGAAGAGGGAACTTAAGCAAGCCTGAAGGAGCCAGGAAAGTTTTTACTGAAGAAAAGGCATTTGAATTGAATTTAAGGTTTGGGTGAGAATTATGTAGGTGAAGAAGGAGCTGAGCAAAGACAGGTGCATTACATGGGGTGCAGTACATGTGCAACTTGAAGCAATGGTAATGCTGGAGCTAAAGTGTAAGGCATGGAAGAATTATAGCATGAGATCAGGCAAAACCCGAGAGTGCTATGCCATGACAATCTTGGAGCGCCCCTAAAAAACAGATTGCCATGGGAGCCAAGGCCAAGGCGAATTTTGAGGCTGGGAGGCAAGAAGATTATGAATTGGTTGAAGTAATCTAGAATATAATGACATCCTTTACAAGGAACATACAGTATAAGTAGCAATAGGAATGTATAAGATGCATCAGATAGGTCATATTTCAGAAAAAAAAATTGAGCCTATTGAATAATGTTACCTACCTACAGAAGAAGTTTTTTTGTAGGATCTTTAAGAGTTCCTTACTAAAATGGACTTGATCAGTGCATTTTAATGGTGGTCAGCTAACAATAAGATGGAGTATTAAAAAATAAAAAAGAGGGATTACACAAATTTACTGGACATAAAGACCTTGCAAGGACGAACAGGGCTAGTCATGAGGAGAAAGCAAGGGACCCAAAGCAAAACCAAGGGACATAAAGTTCAAGCCGCTAAAAGGAGACAAAGAAACTTCATAAACTACCATTTTGGCTGAGCTGGCCCTGCTCTGCTATCATATCATTTTCACTCAGCTTGGGAGCATTATTTCCAAACTCTTCCTCATGAGACATTTAAGTTTAAATAATAATAATAATAATAATAATAATAAATAAGCCCTAGCAAAGCAAGAACTGTGACTTCTGAGCTAAGAAACACCATGTAGTAACAGGTTAACACAGAAGATGGACCTTTAGAAAGTTACTTAGAAATTGGGTCACCTCAGATCTTTTCTCCCTTGACTATATTGGCTCCGGTATTAAGTGTCATGTTTAATTTGGAAATATGACAAGTAATAAGAACCTTTACCCCATAGTTCACAGTATTATTGGAAGGATTAAAGGGACAAAAAGAGGCCAAAGGCTCGGTGTGTTATAAAATGCTAAATGAGGGCATAAGCAGCCCCTCTGGCTCATAGGACAAGAGAGGACAGATGGAATCTCCGAGTTATGGCCCTGCAAGCGATGCTCACCAGTGATGATCATAAAATTTTAGACCTTCAAATGTTGATGAGCAGAGCCCACAGTACCTTAAATGCGTCCCCTAAGGATTAAAATTAATGCACACTGTGAATTTAAAAGTAACACCTAAAAATAGACACTAATACATTTTTAAACAAATGAGTTCTTTCTATAAAACCGGCCTCTATAATGAAATTCTTTTGTTACAAATAAGCATGTAAATAGAGGAATTTATATATGACTAGATTATTAGAATCATATTTTATTAGAATTAGAGAAGACTTTGTTCATCTCTAAAGACTGTCTTCCCAGCTTCCTCCCCTCCCCCGCCTTTCTTACAAGAGGGAAACAGGAATGGTAGAACCCAGACTAAACTGCAGATTTCCTGAATCATGGTTTAAGGCTCTTTTTTTTTTTTAAACAAAATAATGTTTAATAAAGTATGTCAAACATAAAAAAGTAAAACCAACACTAAATTTTTTAAATGTTAACATCATATGCTTAGAATCTTTTTTTTAAAAAAAGAATTAAAACATTATATACCAGTACATGATTCCCATTCCTCCATCCCATTCCCCTACCACCTTCTCCGGATAACCACCATATTAAAGTTGTGGTATATCCCATCCTTCTTGTTCATGTTTGTGTGCACTTACCAAATAATTATACATCCATGAACAACAGCATCTTGCCACAGGAAGAGTTGGTCTTCACAAAAAGGAAGAGTCTCTCACTCTAGTATGCTTACATTCAGTTAAAACCTTTGGGGTTTTGCGGGATATTTCAAAAAGAAACTAGGGCAGTGTTTAAAGTCTTTTAAAATGATTGCCACAGAAGGATCGAGTGAAGTGCCTTCTTATTTAAAGTAAACAATAAATTGGGCAAATATAACAATTTTAATACAACTTTTTAAATCCTTCTCAAGTTAGTGTTTCATAGTTGTGAAACCCTGCTTTATAATGGCCTAGTGTGAATGACCTGTCACGTAACCACAGGGAAAGATGAATTAAGCAATTTAACTGGTAATAATAGTTTCTACTTCTGCTTCAAGGTACCAGTGAAATTTCACCACCTTAATGAATCTGTCTTTGATCCCATCATAATTAATTCCTTCAATAATCATTTATTGAGTGTCAAAGCCCTGTAGATATAAAAGTAAATCAGACCCAGTTCCTGCCCAGAGCTCAGAAATGATTACACAATAGAATTAGAGGAAAGCTCTAATAGAGGGATCCATAAAGGGTTAGTGGAGTCCAGCTTTTCCTGGACTTTCCAGAGGAGGTGATATTTGGACTGCACCCTGAGGATGAGCAGGAGTTTACTAATCAAAAGGTGGAAGGTCATTCCAAGTAGGGAGAAGAGACATTGAATGAGAGGGTACAAAGGATGGTAAGATATTAGCTTTAGAAAAACAACTAAGGATAGACATCAGAGGTAAGTTAGAAGACTGGTAACAATTCAAACAAAAAAAAAATGACGCGATTGCAGGCATGAGGTGGGAAGGGGAAGGATTTTAACAAAATTCAGGACATAAATTTAGCAGAAGTTGATGCTCGCCTGTATGGGTGAAAGAAAGAACATAAGAGGAGTTGGGAGTGACTTCCAAAGGCGTGGCAAATGAGTAGGCAGTGAGGCAGGCCCTTAACTAAAATAGAAAATACCATACGGAAGATAAGAGCATTTTGAGTCAACAGGGAGGCCTCTTCCATGAGGCCTTAAACGGTTTCATTTTCTAGGCCATAAGTCACCCCCTCCTCTGAGCTCCATAGCGTACTGTTTCCCTTTTTCATATAAAATTATTTAAATCTGCCGTATTTACGAGTATGCCCCTATCTCAAACCATGAAGAAAAAGTACTGGATCTTGATCATCTGTGTATTGCCCTTATCTCAGAGCCTTATATGCAAAAGCCTGAAGTCAAAAGTTTGCATTCCACTGGCGAACTGGAAACTGTCAGTTCACATTTCTCAAAACAGGGACCAAAAAAGTTGAATCAGTGGCCCATATAAAGTATCTAAAGCATTTAGCCCTACAGCACCTTTGTATCTTACTTTTAAACCGCCCTGCAAGGCAGCAGTATTCCTGTTCTACGGATAAAGCAGCAGAAGCCCCGGGTGCCTGCGCAACTTCCCTGCCGGGGTCCCCCGGTCTGCGATCGGCTGAGCCGGGATTTGGACCGCCTTGTTCCGTCGTCGCCACGCGGCCTGCCCGTTAGGCTGGGTTTACCGTCCCACCTCTCAGCGGGGCTGGAAAGAGGGCCTTCTGCGGCTCCTGCGGGGGCAGCACCTTCTGGATCAGGGGAGCTGCAGGAGGGGCCTGACGCTGCCTCAGCGACAGTCTCAAGCTCCCCCTCCCAGGAGGGTGCCCCTGTGGGCACACTCGCTGCAGGCAGCGGCGCTGAAAGGGGCCCAAGGGCCCAGAGGTCCCTGCTGTGCGGGGAGCCAGCATTTTGAAGTATTAAGCGCATGAGATCGTTAGACCTTTACGCTCAAGCGATGGAGGCGCCCCCTGAGGTTCCGACGCCAAAGCCCAGGGTACGGGCGCAGGGCCAGGCGGCGGCCAGGACTCCGAGCCTGGGCCATCGGGGGTTATACATTCTCAGAAATAAGGGGCAGTGGGAGGAGGAGAGGGGCCGCCTGCCTTTAGGACACTGAACCTTGCTGCCGGCTTTCTGCGGACCGAGACTTAAGTCGTGGTGGGGAGAGGCCCTGCCCGCGGGTTGTGGCGGAGACCGCCACGCCGCGAGGGTCCCAGAGAGAGGAATTGTTGCTACGGAGGGCCCGCCCTTTACCTCAGACCCGCACCGGAGCCTCCCTCACCACCTCTCCGCCACACCTTGGGGCAGGGGAGAGGTGAAACCTGAAGGCGAGGGAGAGCTAGAGGGCAAGAGAGCCGCTCTGGGACCCCGGAACCTCCGATGGCTACTGAAGGGCCCCTGCGGAGGCGCGAGGGCTCGCGGCAGTGGAGGGGGCGTGTCCCGGCGCGTGCCGAAGGAGGCGCGAAGGGCAAGGGGCGGGGACACCCGCGAAGCCCTGGAGCGTTGATTGGCTGCGAGACTTGAAGGCTTGAGGAGGGGTGTGTCCTCAATGAGTCCTCCGGGGGCAGGTGGGTGGAAAGTAGAGGAGAGGGCACGTCTGCAGGCGGGGACAGCTCCTCTTCCTTCTCCTCCCCCTGGGGGTAAAGGACAGGCAGTTTGGGTCTGGACGTTGGTGCTTGCGGTCTCCAGCCATGGCAGGGCCTGAATGGCAGTCGCTGGAGCAGTGCTTGGAGAAGCACCTGCCTCCTGCAGACTTGCGGGAGGTGAAACGCATTCTCTACGGCAAGGAGACCAGGTCTGGGGCCCAGAGGCTTGAGGTGGGGGGCTGTACATTGGAACCAGCGAGTGTGGGTCCTGGGACCAAGGATCTTAAGGGCTCTAAGGAGAGAGGGGGCGGTGATGAAGTCTTGAGAGGGCAAGCAGAGACCATAAGAAGACAGATGTGACGGCTCGGAGGTGCTCAGGGGTCGCAAAACGCTGGCCTGATCTTTACAAGGACCTCCCCCAGTTGCCCAGAACAGGGAGGGAAAGGACAGGTGTTTTTATTCCCTGAGGCATTCTCTGTGGGTACCTCTCCTTCGCCGCTTCCAGTGATCAGGACTCTCCCCAGACACTGTACTCTTGGTGTTCTGGTCAGTGCCTCCAGCCACAGCCCCCAGCATGTTAACGGATTGTCCAGCCCCAGTCCCTCTTTGCTGTAAGTGATCCTTGGCCTCTGACCAGCCCCTGGTGGTAATGGCCTGCTGAAACTGGTTGGTCAAGGAAACTTTCCCACTTGGCAAGCCACGGAAGTTAGTTCCTACACCCACTGCAAATGTTTTCCCACTCCCAGCCAGTCCTGTGCCGCAGTAGGGCTCTCTGAGGGCAGTGTACTGCTGGACTCTGGGTGTACAAAGCTGGAAGAGACTTTTCCTTCCAATCTGGTTTCTCTTCAGTCCACTTTTCTCAAAGCAACTAAAAAACGTAAATCATAACCTGTTGCTCCTTTGCTTAAAAGTCTATGAGGAATTTCCATGACTCAGGACGAAATCCAAACTTTGACCCCATGCAGCTTCTGACTAAATGTCCTTCCACTTCCTTGCCAATTTGTGGGCTCCCTGACCTTGACAGTGACCTTAAGACAGGAACCTGATTAACTGTCGAGAAACTTGAGAGTATTGATCGGATCAGTGGTTCCCAGCTCCCCATGCTACGGAGTAAACTGCAGGGAGGTCAACCTCAAACCTAAAGGTGTTTTCAGAGCTAATGGATGACAAAGGTAGAACAGCTGCCTTTGGGGATGGGAGTTTTGTCAGAAAGGTCTCTTCATACCCAAAGAGAAGTACCAGGACTGGATGACCTGCAAGGCCTTACCAGTGTGCTCATGCCAGAATGCCACTTGCCACCAAACCTGTCAAGGCTCGTCACAGGAGAGGACTCTTAGAGTTGAGGACTCCCAAAAAAGGTGTTAAGGTGTCTTAAAACAAGGGGTGTCTCAAACTGCTGTTCTAGGGATGAGAATAGGTTTGTTTGAAGGGTGAAGTGGGCATGTTCTCCTGAGAAAAAGACAGAGAGAGCTTGTGAGTGTCAGAGAGAGGCAAAGCATGAGTCTTAAAAGAAGAGAAATAAGTTTTCCGCATAGGTGATTGGCTGTAGGGGGTGTTGAGGAGAGGTGGATCCCCAAAAGTGGAGGGGCTTGGCCTGCATTGCCTCAGGCCTAGGAGAAAAAGTGTCTACAGGTATTCGAGGGGTGGAGGGATGGAAGCAGCACCCAGCATAGGCGGTGAGGAGGCAGGAAGGTTGTGGTGGAGTAATGGGGCCGATGGTGGTAGAAAGATGGAAAGAGATGGCCAGAGGCTGAGGGACAGCATCCAGGTGATCGTTATCGCCAGGCTTGCAAACCTGAGACAAGACCTCATCCCCCTGATATTTTCCTGGTGTGAGAACACAGGCCAAGGACCGGGCTGCCAGGTCCTCTTCCAAAGGGTGGTCGAGCTCCCTGGTCATGGGCCTAAGGGGACGGAACACCCTTCTCCTTCTCCCGTTTGCCACGTGACTCGTGCTGGGGCGGAGGCCTGCCAGGATGGGGGCCTCTACCTGAGGGCAGGAGGGCTGTGTCTGAGGCAAGCACCGTAAAGGGAGGAGAGGTGTGGGCACTGCTGTTATTTCTAACCCGCTGAAGCGAGCGGAACCCTGACTATAATTGAAAAACAGGCTGATTGTCAGGGGTGGAGCCCATCTCAGGAGCTGTCAAGGCTGTCATGTTGGAACTGCCTGGCAGGGGGTGGCGGCGAGGGCTTGGGCTGACAGGGCTATGATTTTGAAAGAAACATCTTTAAGAAAGTGACTTAAAGTAGGAGGGAAATATTATTATTAGATAATGGCTGTCAGGGTAGTTTTTGATGTGTTCTCTGGGTGTTTCATAACCATTTTGTCCCTAGATGGTAAGGCCTTCCGGGCCAGGGGCCAAGCTCCCTGCCCCTGCAGGCTTCACCTGCGTACCGAGCGTGCAACAGGCACCAGGAGTTGTTTGCCATCTGGCCAACGGTCACTTCAGTGGGAGGCTTTATAAATAATCCACTTGCCTTTGTTAATGAACCACAAATCAGGATGAGTGCTTGGGTCTTTGGTCTGGACACTTGGGCCCTCACCAAGCCCATCCAGCCCTGAGCGTGGAACCATCCTCCCTCCCTGCTGGGAGCAGCAGCAGGACAGAGCAGTGGGGATCGCGGGAGACTTGTGATCCTTGGAGGCGGAGGGCCACAGGACCCTCTGTCATGCTATCAGTCCCGGCCTCTCCCCCGAGCCATCCCCTGGGCCTGGCTCTCAGCAGTCCCTCTGTCTTGTCCCCCAGGTTCAGCAGAGCCCTCTGATTCTAGTCCACAGATATTTTGGGGAATCCAGTCGCTCGCTTCTGTGTTGTTTGCTGAGATTCCAATCCCCACCCGGGTATCAGAAACTCTAAAACATCAGCCCTTGACTGGTTGCCCTGCAGCCCTCAACCCCCACCCGGCTGCCTCCATTGGCCAGGCGTGACCACTGCCGCCTACCGCCTACCTGCCGAAATCTCCCCAGTGACCATCAGGTTAAGTCCACGCTCAATGTGGTGTCTGCTCCTAGCCATCCAGGCCCTCCCCGTCCCCCAGGCCCCACTCCAGCTCCCCACGCGTGTGCCTGGCATTGAACTGCTCCGTCTGCCATCTTGCCAGGACACAGGACCGCTTCTCCACTTGATGAATGACTAGGGGGTTGGGAGGATTTTAAATTCAGCACAGCTCATGCAGATCATCTCCCTGTTCTTTCCTGCCCATTTAGGAAGCTTGACCTGCCCAGCAGGGCTTTTGAAGTCGCCTCTGAAGCAGACTTTGAGCTGCAGGGATATGCCTTCGAGGCAGCAGAGGAGCAGCTGAGGGGACCTCGGACAGTGCGCGTGGGGCTTGTTCAGAACAGAATCCCCTTGCCTGCCAGTGCCCCTGTGGCCGATCAGGTGCGACTGCTTTTGACCGTAAATACATGAACGGGTCATGGCCGCTCTGTGTTTTGAACACACCCACAGTCCTCTACTGGCTGCTCAGCCTGGGTTGGCAGGTACACCTAGCGATTAAGTGGTTTCTGAGACCCTCCTGCACTGGCTGCCCCCTTTCTCTCCCTCCTGTGTCTCTGGCTCTTCTTTTTCTTCTGGCTCCTACCCTTCCTCTGCCTTTTCACTCCTCTTTGTTCTTTCCACCCACCCCTCTGCTTCCTCTTCTGCGATTGATCCATTGTTCCATTTACCAACTGGGATGGTGCCCTTTTGGCTGGCTCACACTCTGTCGGTAGAACTCTGCCTCTCAGTGCCCTGCCGGCACACACCAGTCAAGACCCGTCTGCTCATCCCTGTGTTCCTCGGCCCCGTTCCTAAGGGCGGGACTCACTCTACCCAGATGTCTGTCAGCTGAGGGTGCCTGCAGGGCTGCTGGAATATGATAGGCATTTGCTTATGACCTTACAATTAATATCAGCATGACAGCATCTTGGATTTCCTTAAAGAAGCATGTTATCACAGATGCAGGTGGTCTGTTGTATATACTTCTTCAGAGCTTTCCTCCAGCTGCTCATACTTTCCGGGCTTCCTCTGCAAAGGTGTCTTCCAGATACAGCATGCCTGAGAATTCTCAGGCATTCTTGAGGAACCTAAGGCCATTTGGATTCCAGGTTGAGTTCTGCCTTGTCTTTCACATCAGCTTTTCCCCTGCTTTTGTTGGACTAGAAGAGCTCTGGTTTTCAGATTAGTTGATTGTGAACATGTGTCCTTGACTGTCTCAGATTGTTCGGTTGTCAAGGGCAGGGGCGCGGTTCTCACCCCACAGCGCCCAGAAGTACCCTGTGCACACGGTCAGCCGCCTGCAAACATCCGTGGAGCCCTGGGGTGCACAGCCCTGCAGGGGAAAGACAGAACATTGTAACGAGTTTGTGCTCCCTGGCTGTTCAGCCTGGTGCCCCTGGTTTTTCTTTGAACAAACATTCTGAATGTCTCCTGGGAGCCAGGCAACCCTCATGAAGACACAGAGAAGATGAGGACACTTTCCCCTTGCCCCTAAGGAGCTCCTGGGGTCATGGGAGTGACAGACAGTGGGGGAATGTGACAGCACAATGGGAACAGCTCCACACTAGGGGCCCGCGTAGGCCGGGAGTGCAGAGATACCGCAATACTCCTGGGAAAGCCTCCCCTCGGTGGGTCATATGTGTCATGGATAACACATCCAGGAAGGGCTGGGTGGTGGAAGGAAGTACATCCCTGGCCAAGAGCATAGCTGAGAAAGGTAAGTTATTCAATGATAAGATACACACAAGAAAACAGAAGTGTCAGGACAAGGCACCCCTGAAGCCTTAAATGCAGGGCGGTGGAAAGCGGGCTGTGCCCTGAAGCGAGGAAGCAGTTAACCCAGAGGATGGTGCTGGTGTGTGATGGGCCTACTGGGTGCGGCCCTCCCGCAGTAACCAGCATCCTCATGGCAATATATCCTCTTAGCAGCCCCACGAGGCAGGCAGTATTCTGTCCGCTCGCTAGTCATGGAAACCAAGGCTCAGAAAGGCAGTATCAAGGGTGTGTGGGATGCCAGAGCTTCTGCAGCTCCCCGTTTTCCTGCAGACTTTAGACCTGATGACAAGATGAGATAATAGAACCTCCCCCCGCCCCACCCTCTGGCAGCTGACCGGGCCGGGGCTTGTTTTTCCATGTGCGTTGAGATGAGTTCTAAAATGGTCTCAACCAATAGAATTAATGAGTTCTAATCCTTGATTTTTAAACCTCCAGGTCTCTGCCCTTCACAGACGCATAGAGGTCATCATAGAGGTGGCTGCAATGTGTGGAGTCAATATCGTCTGTTTCCAGGAAGCGTGGAGTAAGTCTCTCTTGGGATGCTTTCTCTGCTGCCCTCAAACAATGCTGCGTTATCTCCACATTGATAAGAGGGCCTGCTCCCCGGTTCATTAAAAATCTCTTTGCTTTTCTCATCCATAGAAAATTTCTTTGTTAACAACACCAGGGACCCAGGAAACCCAGGCTCCCTCCCTCTCATATGCCGCAGTCTGTCATCTGGTCCCATCAGTTCTTCCAAATCGTTCGAATCCGTTTTTACTTCTTCCTTCCCACCTCCTTACCCCTGCTCTCGTCCAAAGCACCAAGAGCTCTCGTGATGATTTCTGTAATCCAGCTAGTCTCTTTGTGTCCTCCACCTTGGCTCCCTCTAAGTGGCTCTCCATACCTTCTAGAAAAGATCTTTTCAAAATGTGACTCTGCACTGCATAGCCTGTTCCTTCCCTCACCCCTGCAGGGCTCTGCCCTGACCTTACTGATCTTTCACGCCCCCTCATTCCGCCCCAGCCATGGCACCAGCCGTTCCCTCCTCTTGCCTCATTAACTCTGCTCATCCTTCACCTCTCAGTTCAGAGCCCAGCTCTCTGTCTAAAGTTGTGTGTTCTCTGTTATATACTCATGGCACCATGAACCTTTTCTTTATTTCATTTTTATTTTTATCAAAGTGGTACATGCTCATGGTTTACAATGAAGTGGGTCTTTAAGGTCCATTGCCAAAAAAAAAAAAAATAGTTCTCCTTTTCCTCAGAGGCATCTACTTTCAACTCTTTGCTGGTCCCTTTGGAATTTATCTTTGTTTATGTTTGCTACTTCCTAATTTTTCAGTTTGTATTATCTATTGACTTCTCACTATGGAAGAAGATAGGATTAGTCATTTCCCTCCTTCTGCCCCCTTGACACACATGGACCTTCCTAGCCGTTCCCCCTTCTCTTCTCTTTTGTAAACCTTGATTTCTTTCTCCGAACAGCTTTCTGTTTTCCCTGGAACTTGCTTTGTTTTCTGCATACTTACCACAAATTCTACCCCAGCTTTCTGCCAGTTTTCCAAATCCCCTTAAGGGGCTTAAGCCCATGAAGCAGTCTGTTGGTTTCCTCTCCTTAAAGGGATGTGTCCCACAGCCTTCTCACTGCTCAGGTCTGAGCTCGTCATACCTTCTGCTGGCTACACATATGCCATCCTGGGATTTCCCGTCACTGTCATGCTGGGGAGTCCCTTTGCCTTGCCCTTGTATTCCCCCATCCCACATCTTCCTCTTTCTCGGTTTATTCCCTCATTTAGGTTGAGTGCAGTTGACCCTTGAATAACCAGGGTTAGAACCATGTGGATTCACTTATATATGGAATTTTTTCATCTTGTAAACAGACAACCTAAACTTACAGTATCAATAAATACAGCACAGTACTATAGATATTTTTCCTCTTCTTTCTCTTTTTTTAATAATATTTTCTTTTCTCCAGCTTATTTTATTGTAAGAATATAGTATATAATACATATAACATACAAAATATGTTAATTGACTGTTTATTTTATTGGTAAGGCTTCTGGTCAACAATAGGCTATTAGTTGTTAAGTTTTGGGAGAGTCAAAAGTTATACACAGATTTTCAACTGCTTGAGGGGCTGGTGCCCCTAACCCTTGTGTTTTCAGGGTCAACTAATAGTTCCCTGAGGAAGAACACATAAGAGATATAACCTTCTGGGGACCTTGCATATCTGAAAATACATTCCTCCTACAACTTAGTTGATAGTTTGGTTGGGTATAGAATTCTAAGTTAGAAATAATTTTCCTTCAGAAGTGTAAATGCCTTGCTCCATTGTCTTCTGGCTTCAGGTGTTTTTCTCTGGAAGTATATGGGAGATTCTCTTTTTCTCTAATACTTTGAAATTTCATATAATGTGCCATTGTGTGTATCTATTTTAAACTATTATTCTAAGCACTCCACGGGTTCTTTCAGGCTAGAAATTTGGGTCCCTCACACCTAGGACATTTTCTTATATTGTTTCATTAGTGATTTTCTCCCCCTTTTTTTCCTCTCCTTTCTTCTTGGTATCCTACTATTAGAATGTTGAAACCTGGACTAAGTACCTAAGTTTCTAAATGTATTACCTTCTATTTCCATCTCTTAGCCTTTTCTCAATTTTCTGGTAGATTCTCTCTAATTTGTCATTCAGGCTTCTATTCAGTCTTTGGTTTCAGTCATATTATGAACTTATTATAGTTCTTTTGGTTTGAAAGTTCCTGTTTTTATCACATCCTGTTTTTATTTTTTAGTTATAATATCTTCTCTTATCTCTGAAAATATTAAGTAATATTTTTTTTTCTCCCTGCATAGTCTCTACTCACTCCAACTGGTCTTTTTTCCCCCTGGTTGATTATGTTTTAAGAATTGGGGGTTAAAAACCTGATCGCAATCTCTGAATTTGTGGGAAGGGTTCCTCCTCTGAGGTTCACGATAGAATGACCCAGTTTAGCTATTTGTTATGTAATCCCCCATGGTACTGTCTTTGGGTCATTTTTTTTTTTCAGACTAGTTAGATTCTCCAGAGAAGATTATTCTAATCTCCTGCCAAGAAAAGAGAGAACCAGGATCCAGAATGCTGATGTTTACTTAATCCCTCTGTTTTGGACACTACTTGCCTTTATTTGTCCTGGCTTTCCCAAGGCCAGCGATGCAGTGTTTAACAGTCTCTGATGAATGAGCCTGTAGCCTTCTGCTGGGACAGGGAGCTGTGTCCCAGCCTCTTACAGTAGAGGATGGATGTGGGCTCCAGCTGCTTTCTGCACAGACTTCCAACCATTCATCTCGTTTGTCACCCCTTTCTGCTTCCCTGCCTTCAGATCTGTGCAGTGCCTCTGGCTCTTGAGCTTTCAAGGGTTCTCTGGTGAAGAGTAGGGTGCTTCCTGGCCTCCTTCACTGCTGGGGGGGACTCAGTTTTCTCAGTCCTCTCGGGTAGCTATACACATCCTTGGCTCTCCAGCCTCCTGTACACTGTTGCTGTTGTCCCTCTCTCAGAGCCCAATCCTTGATGGGTTTTTCCTTTACATAAAAATCCCTTTACTGACATATTGGTGGGGTTTCAGGAAAGAGCTGAGGTGCGAGTCCAGTCTGTCATCTGTACCCAGAAATTATTCTCATTTGTTACATGTCACTTTTGATTTGTCTGCCTCTTCCATTAGCTCCATGAAGGAAGGCTGGGTGTTGTTCATTTATTTTCCTCATCCTAATCTCCACCCCTATTTTTTTTTAATGTTAGAAGTATGAATTTCTTTATTTCTTTTTTTATTTATTTTTAGACAGAGGGGCAGGGAGGGAGAAAGAAAGGGAGAGAAACATCAATGTATGGTTGCCTCCCGCACGCCTTTTACTGGGAACCTGGCCCACAACCCAGGCATGTGCTCTGACTGGAAATCGAACCAGCGACCCTTTGGTTCACAGGTAGGCACTCCATCCACTGAGCCACATCAGCCAGGGATCCACCCCTATTTTTTCACATTAAAATTTTTAATTGTGATAAAACATGCATAACATAGCATTTATTATTTTAACCATTGGGACATGTACAATTCAGTGGCATTAAATACATTCACAGAGTTGTATAAACATCACCACTATCTATTCTCAGAACTTTTCGTCATCTCTCACAAAAGCTCTGTGTTCATCTAACAGAAACTCTACCTTCTCCCTCACCCCAATAACCTCTATTCTATTTTCTCTACCTATGAATTTGACTATTCTAGGTACCTCACATAAGTGAAATCATATAGTATTTGTTCTTTTGCGTCTGGCTTATTTCACTTCATGTAATGTTTTCAAGGCCCATCCATGCTGTTGCAAGTATGAGAATTTTATTCCTTTTTATGGCAGCATAACATTTTATTATAGGGTAGACCACATTTTGTTTATTCATTCCCCTACCCCGCTTTATCTTTAGTGGCTTGAACAATCCTTGGTATATGACAGACACTAAAAAATATTTATTGGATGGTTTAACCAGCTTCTTCCCTTTGTCTGGAACTGGGCGAGTCCCGCTTGTCTGTCAAGGCCTAGCGCAGACACCTCCTCCTTTCAGGGGCTCTGGGGACTCCCCTGTGTAGAACCGAGCCATCTGTGGTGTCACGCGGCCACACCTGATTATAATTCAGTTCCACTATCCAGGCTGCAGCTCCCACAGGCAAGGCCAGGTCTAGGTTTACAACCTGACTCTGGGAGTGTTGGTTCAATGAGTGGGGAACCCCCTGCCCCTCTAATTTGAAACCATTGTTGGGATTTAGCAGCCAGCCTCCCCCAATCTTCATTCCATATCCTTCTTTTGTAAGTTTTTTTTAAAAAAAGATTTTACTTATTTTCAGAGCAAGGGTAAGGGAGGGAGATAGAAAGGAAGAGAAACATTGATGTGCAAGAGAAATATCAGTTGGTTGCCTTTCACATGCCCCCAATGAGGAACTTGGCCTGCAACCCAGGCATGTGCCCTGACGGGGAATCGAACCGGTGACCTTTTGGTTTTGCAGGCGGCACTCAATCCACTGAGCCACACCAACCAGGTCTGAAAGTTTGTTTACATTACAGTAGTTGTGTAAACAGGAAAAGAAGCCATTAAAATGGAAATGGAGAAATTTGGAGAGTTTATCAATCTGAAATGAAATCAGAAAGGGAGGTTTTATTCTCTTGAGTCATGTGAGTCTCTCCTAATGCTCTGCAAGCTGAGAATGAATGGTCATTAAGGATCATTTTTGTTATCAACAGCTTTCTTTGTTGGCTTCCTTAAAACGGTTCATCTCTCTTCACTAAGAGGAGCCTGGGGAGTCTTGAGCCTGGTGCCAAGGCCCCCTGGGGCTGCTGCTGGCAGAGCCTGGTGCCCACTTAGGTACCTCCATGGCCCACCGCCCCTGGCAGCTGAGGTGACGATGGTGCCACTGGTGGCCTCTTTATACTGGCACCACCTTAGTGCCAAGCCTCCTGGGACAGGAAGGAACTGGGAAGTGAATGATTCTCTTCCTTCTCTGTGAAGTGCGGAGAGTCGCACCTACTCCGCAGGGGCATCTAGGACAAGCTGCCTATTATCAGGCTGGGCACATGGCCCATGTTTGGAAAAGGTTGGCTACAATTATTACCCCCAAACAGGTTGCAACCTGATAAAGCACTTGCCAGTCGCATCACATAGCTTCCTGTAAACTACCCCCACCCCTTAGGGAGACCCGAACAACAGCAAGCATCTGGAAACTTCTGCTAGCCTAATCTCCCTGAAATAAATGAACTTGGGTGATTAGGAAGGGGAAGATCTAAAGAATATGTGGAATTGGTCCAAACAAAGAATTTAATTCTCCAAGAAGAAAAAGACAAACAGCTTGCTAGGAAATGGGCAAAGGGTAGGGGCAAGATGACCTCGAGGACGAATCCAGAAGGCCGGTGACCACGTGACGAGTTTACTGCCATTAGACTGGAGGGTACTGAAGGGCGTGGCTGAGGCTGGAAGAGGTGGAGCTCGCACAGCCGAGGTCTCTGGTGTCCGTCCACCCCCACCATGGCCCCTGCTCTCTCCTGCACAGGAAACTACAGTTTTGAGCCCAGTATGCGTAGTGTTCTTTGAACTGTTACTACACATATATGTACCCACTATTTGGGGGGGGGGAGAAAGCAAACAAAAGTCAATGAGTTTAATGAAATTTGCTATTGGGTTAGCCCCCTGGTGGTATCTTGCCAGAGATCATAGGAATGCAGTCATGTACTGTGTAGTGGCGTTTCTGTCAATGACAGACCGTATACAGACAGTGGTCCCATGAGATTATCACGGAGCTAAGAAGTTCCTATTGCCTAATGACATCATAGCCCTCATAATGTCATAGTGCAACACATTAGTCACATGCCTGTGATGACTGATGCTGGTGTAAACAAACCTGGGCTGCCAGTCTCACAAAAGCATCACACACACATATGTACAGTATGTAATACTTGGTATTGGTAATAAATGACTTTTTCTGGTTTATGTATATTCTATACTATACTTTTATTGTTATGTTAGAGTGTACTTTTTCTACTTACAAAAAAAGTTGGCTGTAAAATGCAATACCATGTTATCGTGGCAATAACCTCATACATTTCATGTTTACTGCATCTTTTAATTGTATCATTTTCTCGTGTGCTTGATTTAATCTCATGTTGCTTTGTACAGTAACACACTATACAGGTTTGTAGCCTCAGAGCAATAGGCTGTACCATATAAGCTAGGGATGTAGTAGGCTATACTATCTATTATGTTCACTATCTTTATACTGGCACCACCTTAGTTCCACCAACAAAAATCACCTAAGGGTGCGTTTCTCAGAAGGTATCCTCTTCATTAAGTGACACATGATGTTAATGCATTTATCTGCGGGGGGTGCTCAGCCCATCTGGTAGTTTCCAAACTGCCTATGGGGTCATTAAGTGAGTGGATTTTCTTGTTCCTGCAGAAGCCTCCCTGTCCCTGGAGAAGAGCATTCCAATGGTGCTGCTCCACAGGTCCCACGACATCCTCGCTAGCCCTCTGATACTTCCGCCAGGAGTCTCACTGTGCTCCTACCAACCTGGAGATTGGCCAGCGGCTTGGGATTTGCTGGTTGGGAACAGCAAATCCCAAGCTGCCATACCTTTTACAAAATTTTATAAATATGTATACATATATGTATATATGTACCTATACACACATAGCGCTAAAATGGACATAACATTTACTATTTTAGCCATTTTAAGTGTGGCATTAAGTATGTTTTCACTATTATCCCACCACCACCAGCATCCGTCTCCAGAACTTTTTCATCTTCCCAAAGTGAAACTCTGTCCCCATTCAACAACTGCTCCCATTCTTCCCTCCCTCTAGTCCCTGGCAACCAGTGTTCAATTTCCGTCTCTGTGAGGTACCTAGGGTAGGAGTTACACAGCGTTTGTCGTTTTGTGGCTTGCTTATTTCACTTAATGTAATGTCCTCAAGGTTCGTCCATGTGGTAGCAAGTGTCAGAACTTCCTGCCTTTTTAAGGCTGAATAATACACCATTGTGTGTATACACCGCATTTTGTTTATCTGTTCATCCGTCAATAGACACTTGGGTTACTTCCATCTTTCAGCTCTTGTGAATAATGCTGCTATGAACATGAGTGTGCAAATATCTTTCAAGTCTGTGCTGCCATTGTTTTTAAGACTGTAAGTGAGGGCCCTGGCCGGGCGGCTCAGCCGGTTGAAGTGTCGCCCTATACACCAAAACATTGCAGGTTTGATCCCCAGTCGGGGCACATGCAGGAGGCAACTCATTGATGTTTCTCTCTCACACTATTTGCCTCTCTTTCTCCCTTCCTCCTCTCTAAAATCAATAAATATATCCTCAGGTGAAGATTTTAAAAATAACAACAATTCTATTTTTAAAAAAACGAAAAAGACTACAGGCAAGGCCTTTGGCCCAGCTCCTTAATTTGCTATGAAGTCCGAAGTTTTAAAGGCTGACCTTTGTTCACAGCCAGGGATGGGGCTGGGAAGCCAGCCCAGGGCACTTGGTGTCGTGTGCTCTTGGGGGGACCCTCTGCTGCCAGGCCGAGGAGCACCCCTCAGAGGCATGAGCATTGGGTGTGATCCTGGCCTTTCTCCTCTTCACAGCTATGCCCTTTGCTTTCTGTACGAGAGAGAAGCTCCCTTGGACGGAATTTGCCGAGTCAGCAGAGGACGGGCCCACCACCAGATTCTGTCAGAAGGTAGGACAGTGAACTGCTCCTCTAGGAGCAGCTGCCAGACACGTGCAGGTCACCCAGCAAGGCCACAGCTGCCGGGTGTGGCCTCTCACCATGGAAAATGCACCTGCTTGGTGCTTGTTTTTCCAGATAAGATTAGATAAGACTATTTACTGCCCCTTTTTAGTGTACTTTCACTTAAAATTATAGAGTTTCAGAACCAGAGGGGCCCTTAATGGCTTTTTCAAGTGAGGGAACTACAACCAGGGAAGGGTGGCCTGGGTGAGTGGCAGAGCTGGCGCTCAAGGACCAAGGACAAAGTCAGTTCCCTGTTCAGACCTCCGCTCCTCTGCTTGCTCTTTGCCTGGGTTATGGAAGCTTCTCGGCATGGCCTGTCTTCATCCGCGTAGAAATTGGTTTTCATATTTCTTTATTAAAACCTCATAATACGTGATGTGTGATCTCATTTATATGAAATGTCCAGAATAAGCAAATACACAGAGGCAGAAAGCAGATTAGCGGTTGCCACAGGCTGGACGGGGAGGGGTGCGGAGTGACTGCTAATGAGTGTGGGTTTCCATTCGGGGTGATGAAAATGTTCTAAAATTGGATTGTGGTGATGATTGCACAACTCTGCGAATGTACTAAAGACCACTGAATGGAATATTTTAAATGAATGAATTTTATGCTCTGTGAATTATATCTTAATAAAACTGTTATCAAAAAACAAAAAAAGACCCCTTAACATTCAAAGAGGTCGCAAAGAGTAAACTTATCTTTATTCTCACCTCGAACAGAAGAAGGCCTTTCATTTCTCCATATCCCATTTCAGATTTTATAGGTCTATCTAGGGGTTTTTTGAACAGACCTGTAAGAGAGCATGGTGATTCTGCTAATACTTAGCTGTGACTCCAAACATCAGAGTTCTCAAGCTGTGGGGGAGGAAATCTCCCACCCACCAGGCTGTTGATTCCATGCGATGGAAGAAAGGAGGCAGGGGGCTGGTTAGGGGGCGTGCAGATTGCGCGCCTGAGCCAGGGCTGGGGAAGAGAAAAGGAAGCGTGGGAATGAGCCACGGTACCAGGGGACACCTGTCAGCCTCAGGAGGGGCCCGGGGACTGGTGGCCCCCACTATATGCCTTCCACCCATGTGCCTTTCCTTCCTTCTTATCATTAAGGCCAGAGGTAGGGACAGGCTAGTTAGACCTGAGGACAAATGACTGGCTGGGGCTGTTCATCCTGCTGGTCACCAGGTCCTGCTGCTCTTATTTATGATGAAAGGAATTCCATGTCAGAGAGCTTTTGTGGGTATATGAAGTATGATGGCTATTCTTTTATTTCTTTTTTATTGTGTTAAAAAAAAGATAGTATAACAGTTACCATCTTAGTCGTGTTGAAGTATACAGTTCAATACATACATTCACTATGTCGTGAAACAAGTCCCCAGAACTTTTTCGTCTTGTAAATCTGAAACTCTATACCCATTAAACAGCTCCCCTCCACCCTCGGCCGTGGTAACTGAGGTTTTACTTTCTGTTCCTGAGTGTGACTACATTAGACATTTCACGTAAATGGACTCATACGGTACCCATTTGTCCTTTTGTGACTGGCTTGTTTCACTTAGCATAATGTCCTCAAGGTTCATCCATATCAGGGACGACACTTATGTGACAGGATTTCTTCCCGCTTTAAAAAACGAACACTTATTCCATTGTGTGAACATACTTCATTTATTTATCCATTCACCCTGAGGTGGACCCTTGGGTTGTTTCTGCCTTTTGGCTATTGTGGATAATGTTGCTGTGAGCAGTGGTATGCAAGTATCTCTTCAAGATTCGATTATTTTGAGTATGTGCCCGGAGGTGGAATTACTGGATCATATGGTAATTCTATTTTTACTTTCTGAGGAACCACTATACTGTTTCCACAGGGTCTACACCATTTTACACTCCCACCAACGGCGCCCAAGGATGGTAATTACCCTTGTTTCTCTGAGCTTGCGTACCAGGACAACATGGGCATTTAGTTTCTCAAACAACAAGTGGTGGCTCTGAACCAAGGCTAGTTATTTAGAAGAACCATTGAATTCTTCAATAAAAATCTACGGCAGTTCATTTGAAAGTAGGACTCTGCTACATTTATTATTTTTCCAGCTGGCAAAGAAGCATGACATGGTGATAGTATCCCCCATCCTGGAACGAGACGGAGCACATGGGGACGTTCTGTGGAACACGGCTGTAGTGATCTCCAATTCTGGAGCAGTCCTGGGCAAGACCAGGAAAAACCACATCCCCAGAGTGGGCGACTTCAATGAGGTGAGCGGCCCTTCGGACGGCCAGCCCGGCCAGCTCGCCTTCTCACGCATAGGCTCAGCAGGCCTTTCTGTCAGGGACTTCTGTGTCGCATCATGTCACCTCATGTGACACTGGCACACAGTGTGGCACAGGGCTCAGGGGCTTTCCACATTGTCCTGCATCACATGAGACGATAGGATTCGGGAGGGACTCCTGCAAGAGTCCAAAGCACCTTTAGCACAGAGGTTTGTTTTTTTTTTTAATACTGCCTGAATTGGCTTCCTGATATTCTTTTGTGAAGTAATATATAAGTTAAACCAAAATAAATCTTGCACAAATGTGAAGTAATCCCTGCAGCCCCTTGCAGGCTCCTTGCCTTTCCCAGCCTATTCCTTGTTTGCAGGGTGGGGGTCCTTGTCTGTGGCTCATGTGGGATCTGAGTCAGCCATGTCCATGTGCTGGGTGACGTTGGGTGGACATGGGCGTCTGTGCACATGTGTCAGGAGGGGCTTTGTGCCCATGACCAGGATCTAAGTCAAGGGAGCAGTTTTGATTGGTTAATGCCAATCCTTGGGTTGGTAGGATAGAGGGGCGGACATTTGAAGGAGTGAAATGAGCCCCACCTAACACCTAAGATACGAAAATCTGAATGGTTGTTCAGGATGTGATGTCCCCGGCCCATCATTATGCTCCCTGATTGTGGGGGTCCAGCCACGCTCAGCTGGTCGACAGATGAGAAAGGATCTGGAGACTTAAATGAGGTTCCCTGCGGAGAAAGAACAACACAGCGTTTCTCAGGAACAGCTGGATGTGGGGGCAGGAAGACAGGCCCCTCACCTGTTTACCCTGGGATTAATCTTTAGCTCTCTGAAGATAGTGAAGGGCTTGTCTCAACGCACCAGGATCTGCTTCAGTGTCCACCGCACGTGCACATCCTGATTGCTGCCTGGCCCTGGTGAATTTTGAAATTAATAGGAAGAAGCAAAATGCTCTGGGAGCAGGTCTGTTTAGGACCCCAACATGACGTCTACCCCACCCCCAGTGCCATCCATGACTATGTCCCAGGGCCAGCACCCTGAGGGGGCAGCTGGGAAGGGGGCGAAGGCTGGCCTGTTACCCACCTGTTTGCCCTGTAGGGACCCCCTTGACCCCCAGCAGATACCCAGGGACTTGGTGGAGAAGAGCGCCCCCTGGGCATGCGTTCTAGCGTCAGATGGGCCTTCATGAGCCAGCGAGTCACAGGCCACCTCAAGCTCTGGCGTTCTCCCCTGGCAGGCGAGGGTTGCTCCTGCTGAGCTTCTGGTCCCTTCAGCTCTGACATTCTTTATAGGAACATGTGACCAGTGAGGACATTGACCACTCATGTTAACGCTGACCGAACCTCAACCTTTAGTGTACCATGCATGACTGAAACCTAACCAAAGTGTATCCTTGAAATACCGTGGGGAAGTTGCTTTGGGTTTTTTTTGGGTTTTTTTTGTTTTGTTTTGTTTTTGGATTTTTTTTTTTTTACATCTCACAAAAGAAATTGTGGGTAAATGCCTAAACCACGGTAATTTCCTCTTGAGCTGGCATGTTGTCTGGGGTTTCTCTGTGTTTCTTTATTTTTGGTTTGTTTTGGAGCATATTGGAATTTCGAACTTAAAATAGAGTCACACCCTAGAGTGTGTCACTTTTGGAGTGCTGGCGATAGATACTTCGCTTTTTTCCTGCCAAGTCTAAGGAAAGGGAAATCTTAAAGAGCTCAGGGGCTTCAATATATGGCCTGTTGTTTTCCAGTCCACTTACTACATGGAGGGAAACCTGGGCCACCCCGTGTTCCAGACACAGTTCGGAAGGATCGCGGTGAACATTTGCTATGGGCGGCACCACCCCCTCAACTGGCTGATGTACAGTGTCAACGGGGCGCAGATCATCTTCAACCCCTCGGCCACCATCGGAGCACTCAGGTTCCTGAACGTCTGGGATCTGGGAGGGTTCCTGGAGGTGGCTTTGGTAACAGGCAGGCGCAACCAGCAGGACCTCTAACAAATCTGAGCCCTGGGATTTTGTGTTGTGTATTCAACCAACTTTTCTGTGGGGGGAAAAAAATTAGTTACAATCCCCCTAAAGAGCTGCTCTGCTGTGAAATAATTCCTTCACTATGACACTGAACCATGAGATGATAATGACCCCCCCACGCACCCCCGTAGTTGTCAGGATTGAGAAACGCTTCTCAAGGGCCAGAGCAGTGGGCACCTGGCCAGCATTGGCTCCCTCCCTGTCACAGCCACTGTGCTCCGGGGGCGGGGGGGGGGTGGTCGGGGGGGGCTGCATTGCCCTAAGCCCCGTGTCTGTGGCATCCAATGCGTGGAGGGCAGACACCTGAACAGAAAGAGTGAACGAGGGAGTGAGAGCTGAGGGGGCCCTTAACGGACCAGTCAAGGGGCCCTGAAACTTGTTTTTAACCAGCAAAGTGCTTTCTTCTTAACACACCTAACACATGTTCAGGTGTCAGCTTAATCCCAAAACAGATAAAACCGTTCTGATCAAGGCAGTGGGGCTGGCTTGGGCGGCCCCCATCCCCCCTGGCCCCCAGGCAGGGCCTGGGGTCCCTCATTTAATAGTGACAGGTGAGCTAAGCTTCACTGCGGTTCTGCTGCCGCTTCTCCTCCCCAGTGGCTGAGCATTAGGGTGGTTTCCAGGTTGCAAGTACCAGAGCTCTAACAATTTGTGTGCAAATGTCTTCCTCCCCAACTCACTTCCTCTAAAGCAGGATGCCTGGGCCAGGAGGTGCAGGTTTGTACTCTCCGTTGTCCTGGTTGCCAACGTCCCAACAGGGTGAGGGCTGGAGGGGGGGTGTCACTGCTCCTTCTGTAGGGGGCAGCTAGGGGAGTTCTGGGGGTCAGCTTTGAGTCCTGGCAGCCCACACTGTTACCCTTGTCCTCGCTTTACTAAATTTCAGTTGAATTTCTTTTCAATGTCAGAATGTGACATTTACTTTACCTTTTTTTTAAAGCACAGTGTCCCCTTCTCAAGAGTGACTTCCCCTCAGCATTCTGATTTGCACAGCCTGTCCCTTCCAGAGACAGAGCCCGAACCCTGTCTGCCACCACAGGTTCGCTGCCCCGTCTGTGCACCTGGAGGTCTAGTCCACGTCCAGGAGGGGCGCTGTGGGGTAGAGGAGAAATCACATCTTGGATCTCCCCTCAGAGAACCTCCCCAGGGCCTTGTGGCAACTTGCATCCACCTGCAATGGTGACATAGAGTGGTTACTGGCTCTCTAGGCGCCAGGCTTGAGAAGAACCTCCAGGCCTCCCGCGAGAGCAGCCCTCCTGCCAGCCATGTGTAAGGCGTTCACAAGCGCCAGCTCCGTGCTGGGCCCTGCGGGAACCTGAGCCAGCACCCTGGGTGCCTGGGCTGGCTCTTGGGCTGGGGAAGGCCCAGCTGTAGCCTCAGACCCACAGGGCCAACGCCTTGACGCTGCTCCCTTTTATTAGCACAAATTAAGCAAACAGAAACACCCTGGCGTAATATGCATGTAACTGCTTCTGCCCTCAGCAACCTATTAAGCTTATTACAAATTACGAACTTTCCTTCCTCAGCCAACGGTTGGCTAACTCATGCCTATCAAGGGTGTGGTGAGGCTGGTGGTTACAACACTAGCAGGACTTTTAGAAAGCAGTATGTTTCATGAGCTACTAAAATGTTTACACCTATTGATCAGATCATTGTACTCCTAGAACTTTACCTAAGGAAGTATCTAAAAGAGCAGGAAAAGGTTATACACCTAAATGTTTCTGGAAGCTCTGTTTATAATAAGAGGAAAGCTGGCAGGGAGAAAAGCGTTAGGGTTAAGGAAGTGTCCGTCCGTCCCTTCCAGCGGTTGCTGTATAGCCACTAAGAGTCCTTATGAAGATGGTGGAACATCATGGCAGAGCCTATGAGCAAAAAAGGATGTATGCAGGCTCTGGTTAGAACTCTATAGATACTTTTCTGCCAAGGATGTTCATGGAGTGTGGAAAAACTACAACAGATGTTTTATTAGGATGGTGGAATTCTAAGCGCTTTTCTTAAAATGATAAAGGATGTTTATGAATTTGATGGCGAGCGTTTTTAAGTACAATGCGGGGTGAGTTCCCGCCAGCCGCGCACATACACTATGTCTGTCTCCCAGCTTTCAGAGCCATCCATTCTCACCTCTGACCTCTTCCCCCACCCCATGCGCTATGGGCTGGCAGGGCGTCCTCACCCATTTGGGGGTCTCACAGCTCTAAGCACACCGTAGAGTTGAAGTGGTTTCTGTGGAACTGAGTCATCCTGACAATCACATGCAGCCTGTGTGGTCCAAGATTTCTGCCCCATATGCACATTAATCAGAAAGCTGCCGTCCCATCCCCTCGCTGCGTTTTGTCTTCCCCCTCTGATTTTTTTTTAGGGGACTGTGTAGCCACACTGGGAATACAGCAGATGTCCCCATATCCCATTGGGCTCTCTATCATTCTCGCACATGCTGGGCTCTCACGAACCCCCAGCTTCCTTTTCTTCACTTGTTTTGAGAGTTTTAGTTCATTGCCAGCTGTGGGTTTGAGTCCTACGCAACACATCCTCCCTGGAGAATTGCAAGAAAGATGTTTTATGGCACTTGCCTTGCAACTGTCTATTTAATTCCTGAAAATGTCATTTACGGGTGTGTTTCTGTACAAATCCTTTCTTAAAAGTTTTGTCAGTTTGGCTTAGCAGCTGGGGGGAAAAAGCAGCAAATGAGTCCCCTCAATCAAGCCTGCGATTTTTTTTTTTTCCAGGCTCATGAATTCTCCTGAGAATTAAGCTTGTGACAAGCATCCACCCCCTCCACCTACTCTCTTGTTTAAACCAGGTGCATGCTGACAGGAAGGAAGATTCCAGGGCACTTTGCTCCCAGTCACTCCATATTTCCAAGTGGGCATTATGCCTGTTGATTCAGAGTCTTTTCTTTTTAAATATCTTATTTATTTTTAGAGACAGGGGGAGGGAGGGAGGACGAGAGGGAGAGAAACATTAATGTGAGAGAGAAACATCGATTGGTGGCCTCCTGTATGCGCCCTGACCCAGGACAGAACCCGCAACCCAGGCATGTGCCCTGACCAGGAATCGAACCGGTGACCTTTCACTTTGTGGGATGGCGCCCAACCAACAGAGCCACGCCAGCCAGGGCTCAATCCAAAATCTTAATGATGTTGTTCCTCAGACAAATGATCTTTAGCGGCCAACCAGAAGGCCCACTGAATTCTGTGGCACGTTTTAATTGGTGGGCTGGAGAAGGACAGGGTCTCTGGCTGGGACCAGGCCTCCTGCCACTTCTTCCCTGGTGCAGGTGCTGGACTGAGGAGATGCCGCAGCTCAGCTGTACCTGGAGGCTGCCTCCTTTCTGGGCCACTAAGAGAACCAGGGAGCCCCTGCCTAGAGACTCAGGGTTTGGAAGAGGAAACCAGAAAGGCACGGGGAAGTGCGGATGAGCTCAGGGGAGGTGATACCTGCTACAGAATCTACCCCTTCCCCATCATCTAATTCCTTCAGGTTTACTGCGGCCTTTGGCCTGAACTCTCTCCCAGTGGAGACTGCTTTCCAAGGCAACACAGCAGGTAGGGTTGGGTGGAGGTTAGAGCCTTCGCAGGGCCGTGTGCAAGTCCCCCAGTCCTCTTCTGACATTTTCCATGTGAGGCTCTGCCCCACCTGGAAGCGGGGTTCCTCACTGAGCCAGGAAGAGACAAGAAAGAAGCAGTAGCTCCACCTAGAAACTTCACCTGCATGTCCATTCAGGCTTCACTACATATCTCACTGTGAGGGAGTTTCAAAGAAGGAGACTGAGGCTCAGGGTGAGGATTTGATCCAGGGCTGCTTCTACCTGCAGCAGGCCCTCCCCATGAGGCTCCTTGGGCTTGAGTACAGGACAAGCTGAGGACAAGCTGGTGTGCTGGTGGAGTAAGGGTCCCCCAGGGGCACGTGTCTCCCTGGCTGTCCTCACCAAAGGCCCGCGGGCTGGCCACCAGGCTGCAGTTCAGGGCCAGGCATCCGTAGACTGGCTGGGAAGTAAACACCCTGGTTTCTCTCCTTCTTTTCTCATAGTGAGTCCATGTGGCCGATCGAGGCCAGGAACGCAGCCATTGCCAATCACTGCTTCACCTGTGCCATCAACCGCGTGGGCAAGGTAAGTCCCCAAGGCCTCAGCTCGGTCAACCCCGTATGCTGAGGAGGGGATGGAGCACTAAGCTGCTGTGAAACCTGCCTGCTGGAGGGGGCCCAGCCTCTTCAGACCAGTGAAGGCTGCAGGCTGGACTGGGGAGGGCACGGCACCCCTCTTCCCCGTTCCCTCTCTGAGTGCCTGCCGCAAATCCTAGGGTCTGAGGCAGGGAGACTGGCTTGGTCTGTTACTTTTAAAGATATTGCTATGTGTCCCCTCTGTTTTTGTCTGTTTTTGTTTTAGCTGAAACCATTTTGAAAGGCTCTCACCTCATCACCACTAAGTATCTGGCTTCATATTTTTCTTTCTTTTCTTTTTTTTTAAATTGATTTTAGAGAGAGAGACACATTGATGTGTTGGTCCATTGTTTACGCATCTGTTGGTTGCTCCTTGTATGTGCCCTGACTAGGGACAGAACCTGCAACCTTGGAGCATCAGGACGACGCTCCAACCAACGGAGCTGCCCAGCCAGGGCTAGGTTCATATGTTTCCCATTGGTCCCATGCGCTGAATGATTCCGACTACCAAACACGGCACACTTATTACATAATAATACTCCTCAACCTTACTTACCAGATGTCGAACTCTAATCAGAGCATCTGATCGCTCTTAGATAACCAAGGTTCCTACACTAAAGTGGTCTAATCTCTGATACATAAAGAAATTTGGTGTTTTGGTTAGCCTGTGTAACCCCATTACAGTTTGATGTGTGACTTCCTTTAGGCTTTGGGGAAAATACTGAGAACAGTACACAGACACCTCCCTGCTGCCTTCACAGACCCCAGGGTAACTCTAGCAGGCAAACCCCAGCCCCTTCACAGCCCAGAGAACTTCTGCAAAGTCTCCCAGCAGGTTATAATCTCCCTAAAGTCAAAGTCTGGGTCTTTACCTCACTTGTGCTTGTCAAATTCCCTGCTGGCTGCCTGGCCTGCACTTTTTGCCCAGTGCTGGGGACTCGGCAGGGACATTTAACAAGTACTTGTTGATGGCCCAGTGGGGACAGGGCATCCCGCCCTCCTTTAACTGTTTCTTAACTCACTCGCTCGGCGTGACTTTGTGATGAACGCAGTGGTAGTGCCACCTATAGGTTTATCTCATCTTGGTCTTATTTCACAGGAGTACTTCCCGAATGAGTTTACCTCTGGAGATGGGAAGAAAGGTATGTCCCATGAATTTCCGCGGTGGCTGCAGGTGAGGAGTGGGTCTCCTTCTTGCCTGCCTCCTCCGGGCGGGGTCTGCCCCGCGGACTGTGTCTGCACACCTGGCACGTGGGAGCGGCTGACTCCTCTCAGCTCTCTGGCCCAGCGTTGGAGCTGTCTGTGCGCCCACAGATATGGGCAGGCAGTCCTGGGCTTGTGACCACCTCATCCCTGGGTGGGGGGTCCAATGGCATTGGATTGGACTCCATCCCTCCCTGGGGACTGGTGCGAAGGGGGTCCGAGAAGATGTGGTAGAGGCCTTTGTGAGCTTCCTGAAAGAAGGGACGCTTCATCCACCTGCAGACCTCACTCCATCCTTTCTTGTCTGTCCCCATCCGCAGCTGGACAGATACCCCAGGTCACAAGCATGCATGGCCTTGGGATCCTAGAACCCACAGCTTGTTTTGGCCGGAGGTCAAGTACTACCTTTTCTCTGCTAGGAACCCATCTGTCCCTTGGTCCCATCTGTCTGGCCAGGAATGTGGGAGGGGCTGCTGCTCCCCTCATTGAAGCGCAGCCTGTACTAGCTCAGGAGGTCCCCTGGGAAGCCAGAGGGTCTGAGCAAGTTTGTTTCCCAGAAAAGCACTTCCTGAAAGGGTCCCAGATAACCCCACTTGAGGCCCCAGAACTCCAGAGCCTCCAGTCCCAGTTACCTCCGTGCAGCCAGAGGCATGGAAGAGGCAGGGGAATGAGGTCCACTGGGCACCTGCTATGTCCTGGCCCATGCTAGGCCCTGCACTGTGCCCGCCTGCTCCTTACGGGCCTGCAAGGTGGTTGTTAGCTCTGCTCTACTGGGGGCCAAGGTGGGGATGAGGGTACAAGTGACACAGCTGGCAAGGCAAGTGAAGGCAAAGGTCACCCCAGCTCACAGTGTGGCGTTACCATAGGAAGTGAGTCACATGGAAAGCCCTACGTAGCCATATGACACCCTTGGGCTGCGGAGCTAAGGGCCAACACCTCCACATTTCTAGGGGACCTTTAGAAATGTTTTCAGCCACAGAGGTGAGAGTCATGAGGGTGACTTTTGTGGCAAACTGGCTGGGCCTTCAGGGCTGGGGGAGAGGCAGGTGCACTGGCCTTGGCATTTGGCAGATGCTGGGGAGGGTGGCGTGGACCCTTTGTCCTGTGTGTCCCTCGATGTGCCTGCCCCTCTGCAGAGTCCACCGTGGGCCTGCAAAGCTCATGGTGTTTTCCTTGGCTCCTTCAAAGCTCACCAGGACTTTGGCTACTTTTACGGCTCAAGCTACGTGGCAGCCCCTGACAGCAGCCGCACTCCTGGGCTCTCCCGCAACAGGGACGGGTTGCTGGTCGCTGAGCTCAACCTCAACCTCTGCCGGCAGGTGAATGATGTCTGGAACTTCAAGGTGGGTCTCCGAGCCCCCGGCTGTTGCTCTGCTCCTCTGCGTGCGCCCCTATCCTGCTCCCAGGCCTGGGAACCGCAGCTGCTGGGTTTGCCCTGGGGGACAGGCCTCCTGAGGCTCTCAGTTGAGCAGGCGCTGCGTCTCTGCCTCCCTGCAGGCCCCCGGCCTGCCCAGCCAGGGCTGGTGCGCAGGAGAGGAACGACTGGGTGAAATGATGCCCAGGCAGCAGGCCTCAATAAATTCTCCTCTCATCTGATTTAGATTCTGGGCACCTTCAAACAAATTAATCTCAATTTCATTTGTCCAGAGAATAAAGTAAATTAGCTTCTCTGATCCTTTTTTTTCCTTCCAGGCATTTGCACTTATCACAAGACAAATGTGTGTGTCTGGCTCTGCCTGTGGCCAGGCCCCACAGTCTAGGCCTGGACAATAGAGGGAAATGGGTCACGCAGAGAAATGGAATCTAGGCCTGGCTCAGCCGCTTCCTTGCCTGGCCAACTTAAGCACGCCGCTTCTGCTCCCGGGCAGTAGGGATTTCGTTTATAAAATGAGAAGCTTAATTTGAATGTTCCAAGCACCTTTTGAGACCTGATACCTGTGACACCAAGAATCATGAGAGGAAGTAGGTGCCCACCCTCCCAGAATGGGGGAGTAACAGCCGTGGGACCCCATAGAATGTGGCATCTTATCATGGATGCACAGAGATTACTGTTTTAGTGCGGGCAATAATTTTTCCCAGCTCAGCACCCATTTATAGGTAAATCACACATGCAAATGGAAGGCACATTGTCATGACTCAATGACTTTGTCCAGCGTGCCTGGGAGAAGCCAGGGCTTTGGATCCAGCCAGGCTATGGCTCTAGGCCCAGCTTCGTGTTTACCCGAGTGTGGATCCCTGGGCATTTTCCTTGAGTCTCAGGTCAGCAGACAAAAAGGCATTGCCCTTGAGAAAGTCTCCTGGCCTGGCTCTCCTCTTCCTGGGAAGTTCACATTAATGGAGGAATCTATGCAAATTAGCAGTTGGAACCAATAAATAGAATGTTTTCTCATTAGTTACTTCTGAAAGCAGAAGGCTTCCCACACTGTGGAGACGGCAGGAGCTCCTGTCAAGGCTTTGGGAAGGAGGAGGGAAGGGAGGGAATGCTGGGGTGTGAGCACTTCGGGTGGGCTTTCCAGCCCCCCCCCACCGCCAGCCTCTCCCAGCCTCCCCGTGTGTCCGTGATGAGGTGTCACGTGGAGTGGATGGACCTCCAGGCCCCGAGCCAGGAGACCATGGTGCAAATCCCAGGCGACTCCACTCCTGGCTGGTGACCTAGACCGGTTAAGTCCCCTCTCTGGGCTGTAGTGCTCTGCTGGGCTCTGCAGGGCAGCGGGAAGTCCCCTTTCCAGCCTCAGGGCAGGCCACACCTTCTGGATGAGCAGGTCACAGTTCCTCCAGCAGGAGGGGCCAGGGCGTGTGAGTCATAGCGGCATCCTCGATCTTCATCACAGCCCCGGGACCATTGTGGGGAGGTCATGCGGGTTGTTTCTCTGTGTTACAGTCTGAAACTGTCCTGCAGACCAGCCTTTCTGACACATTTCTGTCCCGTGGCCTCCCTCTAGTGGCAAGAGGTGGTGGCGAGTAAATGAGGGGCTTTTGTAAACCACGAACCTGTAAAGTGCACCTGTTTTGCTTTCAGATGACAGGCAGATATGATATGTACGCACGGGAGCTCGCTGAAGCTACCAAACCCAACTACAGCCCCAATATCGTGAAAGAGTAGCTGACCTTCAGCGCCTGCCCATCATGCAAGGCAGCTCCGCCCACAGCAGATGAACAGGCCTTCATTTCCAAGCTCTCCTGGATGATGCCCGGATAATGTTGCTGTCTAGATTGACTTTTAAATGTTCAGATGGAGAGGATGGAGTGAGAAGTGACTGCTTATTGGGTATGAGGTTTCCTTCTGAGGTGATGAAAATGTTTTGGGAAGAAATAGAGGTGATGGTTACAAAAATTGTGAATGTACTAAATGCCACTGGATTGTATACTTTAAAATGGTTAATTTTATGTTATGTGTATTTTACCTCTATTTTTTAAAAATCCCAGGCAATGATTGTGCAGGTTGATTTGAATTTAGACAGACAAAATGTACCAGTCTGAGGTCCCTCCCTTCTTTGTTTAGACTGTCAGCAACTTAATGGTAAGCGTGGGAGTGTGCACACTAGTGCAAGAAGGTGAGGCTGATCCAGTCACTGGATGGCTGTGGGTGAAGGGACAGTCACCGGATGTGTCAACTTGGTTAAGCTGCAGTCTCCAGTTATTTAATCAGACATAATCTGGGTATTGCTCTGAAGGTATTTTGTAGATGCAATTCAAGTCCATAATCAGTTAACTAAGCAAGTGAGGTTATCCTAGATAATCCTGGTAGGCCTGATTTAGTCAGCCAGAAGGCCCTCTGAGTGGAGAGCCGAGGCTTCCCCACTGAGAAAATTCTGCTTGTGGATAGCAGCCTCAGCCCGTGCCTGAGAGTTCCAGTTTGCCTTCCTGGCAGCTTGCTCTACAGGTTTCAGAGTTGCCTATCCATCTCCCATAATCATTTAAATCAATTCCTTGCAATAAATCTCTTCATGTATATTCTACTGTTTCTGATTCTCTGGTTGGACCCTGACTGATACAAATTCTGGTACTGGAAGTGACACCAGAACTAATAATACATGAATTCTGCAAAGCAGCAGAATGCAAAGTCAACACACAAAAACCAGTTGCATTTTTATACACTAATAATAAACAATTTAAAAAGGAAATTAATAAAACAATTTGATTTACAATAGCATCAAAAAGAATAAAATAGGAGTTAACTAAGGAAGCAAACAGCTTGTACAATGAAAACTATAAAACATTGGTGAAAGAAATGAAAATAAAATGTAAATATTAATAAGTGGAAAGACAACCAAATTGTTCATGGATTGGAAGACTAGTATAGTTAAGATGTCAATACTGCCCTGAGCAGTTTACAGATTCAATGCAATCCCAATCAAAATCCCAATGATGTTTTTTTACAGAAATAAAAAAATCTACCCTAAAATTCATATGGCATCTCAAGGGATCCCCAAACAGCCAAAACAGTCTTGGACAAGAGCAAAGTTGGGGGACTCATACTTCCTGATTTCAAAACTTAACACAAAGCTATGGTAATAAAAACAGTGTAGTACTGGCATAAAGACAGGCACATATACCAATGAAAAGGAATAGAGAGCCCAGAAATAAAACCTCCTATTTACTGTCAAGTGACTTTCAACAAGGGTGCAGAGACCACTCAGTGGGGGAAAGGACCATCTTTCCAACAGCGGTGCTGGGACAACAGGATATCGACGTGCAAAAGAATGAAGGCAGACCCTTACCTCACTGTTGGCAATTAGCTCCAAGTGGATCAAAGGCCTTACCATAAGAGCTAACGCTGTAAAACTCTCAGAGGAAAACATAGGGGGACATCTTCATGACATTGGATTTGGCAGTGATTTCTTGGATGTGACACCAAAAGCACCAGCAACTAAAGAAAAAATAGGTAAGTAGGAACCTTTGTCAAAATTAAAAACTTTTGTGTGCCAAAGTGTACTACCATCAGGTAAAAAGACAACCACCAGGATGGAAGAAAATTCTTGCAAATCGTATACCTGATAAAGAGTTAATATTAAGAATATATCTAAAAACTCCTAAAATTCAAAAACTAAAAAACAACCTATTAAAAATGGATAAAAGACTTGAATAGCTATTTCTCCAAATATGTACACAGCGATGGTCAAAACTAGGTTTACAGTTGTAATGTAAATAAATAGTACAACAATTAATAACTAGTTATACAAGAATAAGCTGTGTTTTGTGTACTCCCAGTTGTTAACCTACCTTTGCCAACCCCTGTATCAACGTCCAATGGCACATAAAAAGATGCTTAACATCGCTAATCATTAGAGAAATGCAAATCAAAACCACAATGAGATACCATCGCATACTCATGAGGATGGCTATTATTTAAAAGAAGAAAAAAAACCCCAGAAACTAACAAGTATTGGTGATGATGGGGATAAACCGGAACCTTGTGCATTGTTGGTGGGAATGGAAAATGGTGCTGCTACTCTGGAACCAGCCTGGTGGTTCCTCTGAAAATTAACCAGAGCATCACCACGTGATGCAGCAACTCTACTTCTAGGTATGTACCCAACAGAATTGAAAGCAAGGGGACCACAGATAAACGCATAAACAAAAAGTGGTCTCTACGTACAATAATACAGTATCATTCAGGCTTTAAAAAGAAGGGAATTCTGACACACGCTACAGCACGTAGCCTTGAATATATCTTCAACCTTGAGGCCATTATGCTGAGTGAAATAAACCAGTCACAAAAAGACAAGTACTGTATAGCTACATTGATATGAGGTACCTAGAGCAGTCAAATTCATAAAGACAGAAACTAGAACAGTGGTTACCAGGGGCCGGGGAACAGGGAGCTGGTATTTAACGGGGACAGAGTTCCAGTTTGGGAAGCTGACAAAGTTCTGGAGATGGATGCCAGTGACAGTTACACAACAATATGAATGTACTTAATGCCACTGAACTACACATTTAAAAACGGTTAAAATGGTCCATTTCATGTTATGCATATTTGACCAAATTGTTTTAAAAGGTGTGAGGGCAAAGGCACTGGCTGGGCCTCTTCTCACCAGAATGAGAGTCAGCCCTGCAGGCAGGCCCCTGAGGAGGAGGGTCAGGACTTTGAAGAACTGGCTTTGCTCCCTCTGACAAATTGGGGAAGTTAGTGTCTCCCCGGTGCCCCACTCCCTCTGAGAGTGGCAGCCCAGGGAGCTCCGCCCCACCCTTCCCCTACCCCTCCCCCATCCTTACAGCAACCTGCTCTCCAGCTTTTCACCCTGAGCCACTCTGGGTAGGGCTGGAGCCTGCCCGCCAGGAAAGCCAGGGTCAGGGAGATGGGTCAAGGGCCCTGGAATGCAGGCGTCTGTGAGGTACAGGCTGAGAGCTGGGCCTCTGCTCGGCTTCCCCCTGTTTCTCCCCACCACCCTGCTCTGGGTGCATGTCAGGCCCTCAGGGAAAGTCTGCTGAGCAAAACAAGGTGCCCTGCTCAGCTGGGACTGGGCAGAGGATATGCTGGGGACTGCGGTGGTCAAAAGAGACATCAGCTTCTTTCCCCTGGTTGTAGTGAGCAAGCGTTTTATAGAAAATAAGGAAAAATATGGAGAGGGCAAAAAATCACCTCTACTCCTCCAACCCAGAGGTAAACCACAGCTAACATTTGGCATCTTTCTTTTCTGTCTTTCATATGCCTGTTTTAAAACAATTGGGATTATAGTGTCTACATAATTTTGTGGCTTTTCCCTCAGTTTCATAATATAACATGAGCATTGTCTTTCATCATTAAAAAACAATGTTTTTAAGCTCTTTTTATCAGCTGCACAATGTTTGACGTGTAGACGGGCTCTTATTTATTTAATTCTTTCCCTGCATTGGGTATTAAGTTATCCATTTATTCATTCATCCAGTCCTTGCTATTACAAATGATGCTGGTATAAACATTTTAATGGCTAAATTATCTTATTGGTGTTGTTTCCTTTAGGGTAGCTTTCAAGAAATGGAATTCCCCGTGTTAAAAAGCACGAACATCTTGTTAAGAACTGGGGAGAGTCTGAGATCCCACCCTATTTGCAAGCTGACAAGTTAGCCAACCTCAGTTCCATGGATGCTGACAGAGACACGGTGATCCTGGGTCAGAGACAAGGAAAGTTTATTACAGCAATAGTGCGACCAAAGTACCAGCATTTTCATGCCGTGATTCCCAACAGCAAAGGAAGCCAAGTGACTCCTCTGGCAGCTTTCCCACAGGTATACCACTTCACCGGCCACTCTGATTGATCTGACCAACAGAGGCTGCACCAGGTCAGTTCAGTTTGTCTCACAGCATTTAATCAGTTTCATCCACAGCACTTCAAAGTGCAGAACGAGACCAACCTGCAGCGATAACCTCAATCCTGCGCCTAAGGGTCTTCGACCCAATGGGCTGGAGAAATCTCATAAACCATCAAGATCTGTCTTTCTCAAACGCTGACTTTTCCGCTTGGCCTAGGTCGTTAATCCGGGAACAAATGCCTATATTAGACAATGTCCAGCCTCTACTTTGGCCCCCAGGGAGGAAGTCTAGGCAAATCTTATCATCTATACCAAGCTGGGGCCAGGAGCTGACGCTGACCACATGCCTCCAGCGCCAAAGGTACCATCGGTCACTCCAGGCGAAGTCAGGGGCAGATGGTGCCTCCCTTCCTCTCATCAGACGGTTACCGTCTCAGGGATAACTGCCCACAGAGTGCACATGGATAACACGCCAGGAGTCCAGGAAGCTCCCCTGCGTAAGGTTAGCCTTGTTTCAGTGAGCTCTCCACAGATGTCTGTGGGCTACCTAACCTACAGCTGGCATTTGCTTAAACATGTGAATGTCTCTTATGACCATCATGTGGTTGCAAGATACTGTTTTGGGGAGGTTGGCAAGTTAGTTCCTGGCTCTCACACGGGTATAATCATCAGGGCAAATGTACCTCTAGAAGGAGAGTGTTTACAAGTGTTAGGATCCCCCAAGTGGGACCTACATCGGTTGGGCACAGATTGACAGCACCTTCAGTGTGGCCTCCTGGGCAGCTTGTAGGCTTTTGGGTTCCCAGTCCTGTTGAATACTTGACTTTATCCTTGTATCTGGAAGGACTGCCCAAGGGCAGTCGGCCCAGTCTGTCCTGCGTGCCTATGTCACCATCTGGCTAGCGTTCGTCTTCACCATAGACGAGTGACTGTAAGAATGGGGTTGGGAAGACATCTGGTGGAGTTCAGGTGTTTTCCCTAGAAGATATAGGAGCCAGGGATACCCCCTGCATTTCCGGTAGTCTTCTGGTAAGGTTAATAGGAACAGTGATCACATCGTGGTCAAGGCCATCTGGTCAGGAAGAAGGCAAACCCTGAAATCAGTTACATTTAAGGGGCTTGCAGGAGTTTGGGAGAGCTGCGCCAGGCCATCTGTATTCACGAGGAAGGCTCCAGACACAATGATGAAACGGGATCATTCACGACGAACGCCCCTCTCTCCCTGCCTCCTGGCATGAAAGGTGTTTCCTTTCTAGGTGCCAAAGTTGCTGCTCCCTCCCCAACAAATCAACGTGGCTAAGTTCCAGTAGCTAAAACATCACCTTTCTTATTTTTCCAGTTATCCCTTTCTGAAACCCAAACCTGTTGTTTGGAAGGGTCAGTTGCAAGGGGAACAAGGGCCTTTTTATAAAATGCACAGGGAGCCACTATGTTCTCCCCTTTGTCCCACCTGAGCTGCCCTAAGGGGTCTCAGCGAGCAATGTACACACTCAAGTGGTCATTGTCTTTGTGATCTAAGGCCTTGTCAGTCCAACAGGAGACTTCAAGTGACTGGACCAGAATCAAGTTTGAATTTCCAGGCCCCCTTGTGGCTGAGCTGTCCTCACCAAAAGGTGGATATGCTCACCTGGCTGGCCTGGCGTTGCTCTTAGGGAAGAGAAAGAAGCAACATGCCCAGGAATGGTCAGGTCTGAATCCTCAAATTTCAGAATAGGTCCTCGTAACCCTCTTACTACTTTCATCCAGATGTACCCAGGGAATGGCCTTCTCAGGGACAGCTGCAGTCAGCAACCAAACTGCTCTACAAAAGTGTGTGGACCAGGAGGGGGAATGCGGGAGGTAGAGTCAGAAAACTTTTTGAGTTGATTTTTGAGAAGCCATCCCAGTGCTGAATGATTTCAGATGCCTGTGGATGGCAGGGAAGGTAGAGGGTCCACTGAAAACCTTGCCTGCCCGCCCATAGTTGAGGAGCTTTTGCGAGCAAAGGTGCTCCCTCAACTGAAAATGGCCCAGGAAACCAGACAACACACAGGTTCGTTTCGGTTGAGGCACAGTGATGAAAAAGAGTCAACAGTGGTGAAGTGCCACCAACAGCCCCAAGTGGGTGACAGAGATAGGGTGAGGTTAATCTGCCTTGAGCAGGCCGGGGCGTACCCTGTGCACGTGAGGTGACCTCCTCTTGTGCCAGAGGCGAGCCTTTGGCAGGAAATCACAAGCCTGGCATGCAGTAGCAGCCTCCGCATCAGGAACAGTTTGTCCTTTGTGCTCGGTCCACAATGTGGATGTGTCTCCGTGCGCAGCACAATGAGCCAGGTGGGGCAGGTGATGCAATCAACAGCCTTATTCTAGTCGGTCTCATTGGAGGACAGGCTTCTACCATGAGCATCTAGCATGAGTGAACCAGCCAGAATTTACTTCCACAGCCCAAAGCCCCAAAGAGGGGTATCTTTAATCTGCTGATTTGAGGTTTTCTAAGTGGCATACAGAACAACTAGGCCATTGGCAACAGCCCAAAGGTCAGTAAAAACATGCTAAGTGGAGTTTACCAAGTAGAGTATGGATTGGCCCAGGGCTCTAGGATGCGCCTTGAGTTCTGCCTGCTGACCGGAGAGACTCACATCCATTTTCGGTTCTGGGTAGTGCTGCTGAGGATGAACAGCCCAGCAGCCCAGGGGACATCATCAGCTTTCCTCTTAGTTGACCCATGGGTGAACCAGGCCCAGGTTACTTCGGGAACTTGAGGTCCCTGATGAGCCAGCAGCTTTGCTTTGGTGGGTTGAAATATAAGTTTCCCCCAAAGGATTAGCTGCCATTTTTTCGTGTAAAGCTGAGGTGTCACTTGGGTCAGGCCACTGTTTCTAAATGTACCATTCTCAGTGCACAAGCAAAACTTTCGTGGGTTAGGTGTTCAGTTTCAACAAGAGCCCATTATTAAGCTTTTCAAAAGGGTACACCTGCTGTCCGTGTCTGAGTAGTATGTCCAAAATGCCAAGGACACTCCTGGGTACAATCTGCTTCCCTTTTCCAGAGGCTCCAATTAGCACACTCATCAGTCACAGAGACTTATGTGACCTAAAGGGGTCGTTAGATTGTAGGACCCAGAAGAGTGGGTCACTGCTTGCTGGGCAGCTTCCAACGTAGTCTGTTGGTTTGGGCCTGCTCAAAGGGTACTGGGTTGTGGGTTAGCTGATATAATAGGACCAAGTAGGATGCCCAAGGGAGGCAATGCTAACTCCGATGCCCAACGATTCCAAGAAGGTGCCAGGACTCCTTTTCGGGGAGTTCGTGGGTGGATCAAGGGGAAGGGGCAGATTCTCCTTGACTGATGGAGAAATTAAGCATTGTGAATCTGACCCCATGGCCCCAAGTCCCTGAATTTGGTCCAGGTTTATCAGTCCCCCTGCCACTAAAAGAGGGGCCAACCATTCGTTCACATACTTTATCAAGCGCCTACTAGATGTCAGGTATTGGGACGACAGCGGCGGAGAAGGACAGGATAATGTGATGGGTGGGGGAAGGCTGGAGGTGCTCCTTGAAAAGTGATGCCATTGAGCAGAGCCCTGAAGGAGGGGATAGGGGAGGAGACAGCAGGTGCAAAGAGCCTGAGGAAGGAAAGGGCTTTGACAGGTGGGAGGCCAGCTTGGCTGCCTCATGGGTCTATTTGTTGTGAGGGTGAAATGAGGTGTGGACATCAGCCGTCATAAATCAAAGGGCTCCACACAGCTTGGGAGGACTAGAAGAGATCCTCTGGAGACAGTACGGGTGTACCTCGATGTATTGCACTTTGTTTATTGTGCTTCACAGATATGTTTGTGTTTTAAGGCAAGACGCTCCACCAGCAAAAAGATTCTGACTTGCTTTATAGAGGCACTCGCTTTATTGCAGCGGTCTGGAACTGACTCCACAGTATCTTCAAGGTATGCCTGTTCTGAGGATGCATGTCCAGGCACGCAGCCAGGGAGAGGCAAAGAGGAAGGAGGCAGGGGGTGAGGGTGGGGAGATGATGGAGAAATCCCAGGAGAGGCCGCTGTGCTGGGCTGTGGGAGTCTCAGTCTCCGTTTCTTAGCACTGAGGTTTTTCCACGAACATTCAAGTCCATGCTAGTCCCATCGCTCAGCCCCCGGGATCAACAGCTAAACAGGATGATGTTTCTGTATCTTCCTGGTTTTCTCGTTCTGTTCTGAAGCTGGAGGGTGAGGGCAAGTCCCTGGTGTGTGTTCCTGGATACTGTGGCTGAGGCAGTGGAAGCAAGTTAGCAAGGAGAGTAGGACCTGTGCTCTTCTGCGGGTTCTAGGTGGTTCTGCTGCAAGCATCTTTGCTGAAAGCATTTTTGCCACACAACTAATTGGCCATAAGGTAATTTTACCATAAATAATTAAATGATGAAAAATGAAAGGAACATTAGAAGGCACATGATAGAATGTGAAAAAATTAGTAACAAAATTTTTAAAAACATTCTCACAGGAAGACTTTGAAGCCTTTTGTTCATAGTGTGATGTTTTCTTTTTTGTTTGTTGATTTGTCTCCTCATTCAGCATTGTACTTTTCTGCTAACATTTCTTTCTTTATTAAGTGAGGTATCAGTTTCTAGCTGAAGAATCAGTACTTAATGTTCTTGAAGACCGCTGTGAATTAGCTGCAGCCCTTTTATATTTATCATAGCTCGGTAGTATTTTTTGGCTTTGATGGGTGAGAGACTGTGGTCACCAAAGGATTTGTGAACACGTTTCATATATGATCGTTTTCTATTGGCTTTATATGTGGTTGTTATCATCCACTATTTTAAGGCCACGACATCTACACATCACTGCATAGACCACTATGAGGACTAACAGACATATAAGCTAAAAATAGGAGTGCTGTGAGAACTTAGTCAATGGAGAAATGAAACAAAACTCACAAAATATACTAAGCCTGCCAAATGTAAACCAAACTGTCAACCAGTTAATTTATTTTACAGCAAAATTGCCTTAGGGCCAGTTAGTTCTGCGGTGAAAATGTTTGCAGTGAAAATTCCTGTGGCAAACATGGTTGAGGCAAACATGTATATGATGAAACTGGGGACACATGCCAGGCTTTCTACCTGGTGGCAGGCTCCTCCCTCTCTGGCTCCAGGACTCAGAGTTCACTTCCTGCCTCTTCTGGCATTGGCTCACCCCTAACAGAGTCCCCAGGGTTGCTTCTGACCCAGCTTGGGCTGGGGGTTGGAGACGCAGCAAAGACCGGCTGTCATGGCTCCAAGCTTCTAGCTCTGTCTAGAGCACATTGAGTAAGGACCTCAGTTGAAGTCTTGCCCTTGGACGAGACCAGTGGTTACCCAAGACCCTGGGCAAAAGGCAGCAGCTCAGCTGCACACAGATGTCTGCTTCAGCCTGGCCCCTAGGCTCCCAAGAACCCCCTCCCAGGAGTCCTCAGCCTGTCCCCTGCACTGTCCCCTGCACTGTCCCCACCCTCCAACTCCACCCAAGTTTCACCAGCTCACCTACTTTCATCCCCCAACTCCCTCGTTCTGTCATTTTTCTCCCAAAGTCGCATTCAATGGCCTCTCAGAGACCCCAAACCAATCACTCATATTCCTGTCCCAGCCCACGATGCAGCATTAGGAACGGGCCCTCCCCTGGGGCGGGCAGAAGGCTGATGCTGAAGTGCAGACAGGCAGGCTCCCTCGTGTTCCCCCACTGCTGCCTACATGTGCAGGACACTTGCTGTGCTGCCTGGCGCGCTCTGGCTGGGGCCCCAGCAGCCAGTCAGCTCTCTGATGTCTGCAGGGCCGCTCTCCAGCTTGGAATGGAGTCCAAGACCTCGGTCAGAACTCCTGCTAATGTACCTCCACCATGTGGGCCTGGGGCGGGGCAGAGCAGCTGTCAGTCAGAGGCCGGAGACTCTACCCAAAGGGCCGGCTCTGGCTCCGTCAGCTCCCTGTAGGAGCTTGGGGGGGGGGAGGCGGAGGCAGGTCTGAAGATGCCGGAAGATGCAGGATTTCCAAACACTTCCTGTTTCAGGAGAATTCTTATCAAATGAAATACTAGAAGGACCCAGTAAGGAGCAGATGAGCTTCTGGTTGAAGCAGAAGGTGCAGGGAGGGCTGGAGTCCCCTCTATTCCCTCCTGTGGCGCACCCCCCACTTCCTCACTTGACATTCCCCATCCCTGCCCTCCTCCTCCCCAAGGGCTTACACCCTCCACGCCCTGCCTCTTCACGAATCTCAGTCCATCTGAGCTCTGGGGCCTACCCACCTCCGGCGTTGCCCACTTAGGCCTTGCACAAGTGTCAGGGGGGAATGCAGGCCCCCAAAAGCAGAAAACTGGATTCCAGCCCCAGCTAAAACTGGCACGGCAAGCTAAGGACTTGGGCTCCCACGTGATCGTTCTGAGGTGAGAATTCATGAAGCTGGGCCAGAGGCTGCCATTACTTTGCAGTAAGAATAACGTTTATTGAGAATGGCTCATTACAAACAAAATATATGTATAAAATCTCTGCAATGCAAAAGATCCTTTTTGTCCCCATGTGGCTGGAGTGAACAAAGCCAACTGTCTGCTGTGGCTTTGGGGCTGTGCTGGACCCTCAGCTTGTAGACAGGGGTCATGGGTGCCGTGTTCTGTAGGCAGAAGTTCCTAAAGGGACTTTTTTCCTGCCCCATTTTCATGATTTTTTCATTACACAATATAGCGTGGTTTGCATCCTGCCTCCACGACCCTCTCCAATGAAGGTGGCAGCCTCTCAGGGGCAGGCAGCTTTCTTGTCAGTCTTCCAGTTGACCCCTAATTCGTGGCTCGCCCTGAGAAGCCATCCTCCAAGCCCAGCGACGGAGGGTTTTTAAACAGTGCATGATAGACTGAGGTGCTGTGACCACTCTCCATGGAGTCTGCTCCCCACAGCAGCGCACGCACCATGCCTCGCCTTCAGCCATCCTGAAGGCTTCTCTTCCTGCTTTCCTTATCTATCCTCACCACCACTTTACCCAGACCCCTCCTGAGTTTGCCCAAACCCCACATGTATCACATGTGATATTCCTGGGCATGGCGCCAGAACTCCCGGGATCCTGGGCCACACAGCATTAAGGCAACAGAGATGGGAGATTGGTGCGAAGGCAACGCTAGCCTCACACCCAGGGTGGCTGCCCAGCTACAGCGCCTCCCTCTTGGTCAAGGCTGCATCTGGTGTTGAGCAATACAGCTGGGCGGTCTGATGGCCTTCGCAGGCAGAGCCCGCCTCTGCCCCTCAGAGCTGCCATGAAGGGGAGGGGGACAGCTGGCAGGTGGGGGCACATACTGAGCATAGTTTGCAGCCAGGGAAGGGGCAGCAGCTGCCACCACGTGATGTCTTGGGCACTGGAAGACCAAGACGAGGGGTGCAGGAGTAGAGGGGCTGTTGGGACACCTCTGCTCCTTTGCCAGAGGCAGCCCCTGAGAGGTGGGTGTGTGTCCCCATTCCCTTTGGGAATGACCCACTTCTTATTTTTCAGGTGCAGACCTGGGTTCAAGGCCCAGCTCCACCAGTCAGTCGCCTGGGCCAACTCCCCCCAACTGGGCTGGATTCTGTCTGTAAGGTGAGGGGCCCCGGCCCTCAGTCCGCCAGCTGGGAATCCTCTTCTCTTTGCGACAACTTGAACTGGCTTTTATTTGCCCCGTGAAAAGAGGTGTCAGTGGTTCCAAAGTACCTGCTGTCTCACTATTATCTTGAGGGTGATTCTCACCTCCCAAGTGAAAACTTAAATCTCAAAAACCCACCCCCACAAAAAAAAAGAGAGAAAGAAAGAAGGCAACAGTTCCGGTCCATGCTCCATGTCATGCTGTGTGGCCCTGGACGGGCACCACCCTTCTCTATCAGGACAGAAGAGACCCACCTTTCTGTGCACCGGTCCCAGCAGAACACCAGGGTGGGCGGGAAGCCACAGGCCGCCCCACTGTTGCTTGAGGAGCACAGGCCCTGGCACCCCAGCACCCAGCCCTGCAAGACTGAGAGCTCCCTGTACTCAGATGGGCCCCTCTGTTGGGACTCAGGCCAGAATCAGGAGCCTCCTGGTTGCAGGACCTTCGGGGCCCAGCAGCCGTCCCTGGCCCTCTGGGTCAGGCTTTCTCGAGCACAAGCAGCTCTGTGGGCCGCCGGGAACCAGGCTCCTGCCCACACACGCTCTACGGAGCCGGAGTACCTGGAGGGCTGGGGGCCTCGGAGTCCTTTCTGCCTCCGGTCCAGCCCTCCTCGAGGGCCAGGGCCTTGTGACCTGCTGCAAGAACTTGGGGGCCTGCAGCACTCCTAGGGAGACGGGGAGGAGCCCGCAGCGAGGCCAGGGTCTGCTACAGTCTCCAAACACACAGGCGCCGTCCTGACAAGTAACATCTCTCGTCAGGCTCGGTCCCCAGATTGGTGGGGAGACGGGCTCAGGCAGTAAGGGAACTCTGGGGCTGGACGGCCCCCTGGACACAGCTGGAGTCAGGCTGAGCGCCCCGGGGTTAGCCCTGCTCAGCAGCTCTGGGGATGTTTCCAGCAACCTGCAGTGTGTGGGCAAGTGGCACAACGCCACTCACTACTGGCAGGTGAGCCGGGTGCGCTGCGGCCTGCCAGAGTTCCCTGGGGTTCTGCCACACGGGCCGAGGCCGGAGCTCCCATCCGAGCCCCAGCTGCCCTGGGCCTGGGGCAGGGCCTCCTGAGCAGGCCAGGCTGGGGCAGGGGCACACCAGGCTCCCGCTGTCAGCTATCCAAGTAGACAAAGAGGATGTCCTCGTCTGTGCCGTAGCTGGTCCGGGCCTCCTCGAAGTTACTGATGCTGGTGCTGCACATCCCTGCTGAGGGCAGAGCAGGGTCAGTGGGCGGGGGAAGAACACCTGCCTCACTGGCGCCCAGGGAAGCTGGGGGAGGTCTGACATGTCCCACCTACCTCGCCACCCCTTGCCACACACGTCTCCCACCCCGGGAAGCCCTCCGTGCCTGCACTGGCCTTTATGAGCTTGTTCCTGCCCCCTCCCCAGTTTAGCAGATGAAGAAAGTCAGGCCCGTAGAGGGGAAGGAACATGCCTGGGACATAGAGGGGAGGCCACATGGGGTAAGTCTGTGAGAGTCAGGACAGTGCTTCCCTGTCCCCAGGGCAGTGGGGAGCCGTGCGGGTCTACAGGGGGAGCTGGGGCCAGGCAGACTTCCTGATGAGCGTGCTGCCCGTCCTATGGGGGCCGAGGTAGGGGAGCGGGGAGGAAACTGCAGTGTCTACAGCATGAGACGGTGCAGCGGGGTCCCGGACGGGGGTGTGCAGCTGGCAGTGTGGGAGGGAGCAATGGCCAGGCCTGGGAATGACGGGTGTGGAGGAAGCCAGCACAGCCGGAGGATTGTGGCTGGTTTGCTGCATGGCCAGGGGGGTGGCACAGATGACAGGGGTCTAGGGGGAGCAGGGGACTTGGGGAGAAGGCACCGAGGGCGGGCTGGGCCCCACCAGGGTGAGTGGGAAGGAGTGGGGGTCTGGGCGTACAGAACTGTGAGTGCAGCTGCCCTGCCCACTGTCCGCACCCACCACACTCACGGTCGGCGTACGCTGGGTTGTTGTAGAAGATGGAGCCGGTGGCCCGGTTGTAGCCACGTAGCACGATGAAGTGGCCCTGGTAGTCGGGGGTGCGGCAGAAGCAGCGGTGGCCACGGGGGGCAAAGCAGCAGTACTTGGCGGGGCTAGAGCAGAGGTCGCAGTGCAGCACCCCCGAGTTCACCAACACAATGGCCACGTGGCCCTGTGCCAGGTGTGCCTGGATGTCCTGCACGCTCACCGTGCTGTGGGCGGGAGGAGCGTCAGCCAGTGCCCCTGGGCCCGCTCCCCATCTCTCAGGCGGACCCCTGCTTGGACCCGTCCTGCCCTGTGTCACACAGCCTGGGGACAAGGCTGGTCTTCCCTCTGCCCTGAGTTCCTTGCAAGTGGGAATGTCCTGCCTCGTTACTGCGGCCCAGGCTCAGTCCGAGGCCCAGCACAGACCAGCGGAGGGGGGCTCTGCGTGAGCTCAAGAACAGGCTGGCCCCATCAGGCCCTTCACAGGGTGGCAGAAGGTCAGGTCCAGACGAACCCCCGCCAAGGGCTAGTGGAGCAGCATGTGGGACCTCGCCTCCTAGACTGGTGAGTTATTTTAGTCAAGTGCCTCCATTGGTCTTTTACCCTAAATCATCTGTAGTTTACGTTAGAAACTGTCAGTCCAATTCCCCAAATTTGAGCCAAGCATGGCTTTGCCAGTGTCAAAACCAATGCTTCTCTGCATGGCTATTTTTCTTTTTTTCTTTTTTCCTAAGGTTCCTTTGGTGGCAGGAGGGGCTGTCCAGGAGGGGCTGGTCAGCAGCTCTACCGGGGGAACCCCCAGGCCAGCAGCGCCAGCTGCCTCATGTGGTGCCCCCCACAAGGCAGCAAGTCCAAACAGGAACCCAGAAGGGGAGAAGAGGCCGGGGGCTCCCTGGCCTTTACTGGCCCTCCTTCCTTAGTGCTCTCCCCAGGAGTGGAGCCTGGCCCAACCCCAGCCCATGGCCAAGTCAAGTGGCAGTTTGGTTTGTTGTCTCAGCCTGGAGAGCATGTCATTTTTGCCATTTGGTCTTTGAAACAAAACACCTGGCTGAATTCCCAATGGCGTGTAGAAGAGTGGGATTTTGGCTATGAGAAAAAAGCAGGGGCTGGGCTAGAAGGAAAGGCAGCAGGCTGCGTGACGGAACAGCGTGGCAGTGCCAGGTCAGCCCACAGCACGGCCAAGTTGCTGGGGGGAGGGGGCTGTGGGCGGCTCACACCACTTTTCCCATCCTCAGTTTCCCCACCTGAATGCGGACAGCACCAACTTCCCACTCAACGAGACAGCACCTGTCAAGTGCTGCTAAACAAGTTTCCTGCCTTTTCTGCCAACATAGGCTCATGTGGCCTAAGGATGCATGGAGACTTTTCCCATTTTCCAAATCACCTATAGTGCGGCTACATCATGTTAATAATGAAAACAGAAATCTGGAAAGAACAGGGAGACCTGAGAAGAGTGGTCTAGGAGAGCCCGGCTGTGACCTGAGCCACCAGGCCTGAGCACAGTGCCCACCGCAAGCCCGAGGAAGAAAGTCACCCACATCTAGGCAAGTTACTCCCAGGGTCTGCCTAAATCCTGCCCCTATGGAGAGGTGAGAAGGGAAGACCCATGTGAGGTCACAGAGGTCGTGGGCAGGTCTGGGAGCCGGGCCTCCCTAGACGGCCTACCCACTGGGCAGTCCCCATCACCTCCGTGACCGTGCCATCATGTTCCTCAGGCCGTGACCCCTTCATTTGGGTTACTGTGTTCTGACCCCTGCCACCCAGAACTGGCTGGAGTCTGTCTGGCTCGCCTGTACCTCCAGCCCCTGCTCGGGATTCACCCCAGCCCAGAGGTTCTTATTCAGTAGATCATAAAGCCCTATGGGTCCCCTTTTCATGGATGAAAACCCAAGGCTCAGGGGGATGTCAGTGCCCACAGCCGCCCGGGCAGGAAGCCCCAGCTCTGCCTGCCTCCCAAGGCCCTGGTCTTTCGCATACACCATCCTGATACCTCCCCCACTGCAAGTCTACGGGTGAGCAAGTACACAGGGAATGGAGGTGGGGGGCTCACCATTTCTCCACCAGCACCTTGCAGGCCTTGGCTTGTGCAAACAGCTGGTTCACCCGAGTCTCCTCCGTGTCAAAGTGCTTCCTGTAGAAGGACTGAAGAGAACAGGGCAGGCTGGAAGGGCCGCCCACCCTGGCCGCCCTCACCCCACTTGGACAAAGAACACATTAAAGAGTCAGATGGCAGGACCGTGGAGGAGCCTGGCCTGCTGGGGGAGATGGCACATGAGGCACGTGGGCAGAGAGCTTTCTGTCCTGAGCCAACAGGGAGGGTGGCCTGCCAGAGTGCACGGGACCCCACAGAGGCACGAAGAGGGTGCTCAGCAGAGGGGTGGGCAGCCAGGCTTAGATCAGCTCCCTGAGGAAGGTCAGCCAGTGTCGGGCTTGTGCTCCCTGTGGGCATGAGCAGGACTCTGAGTAAATGAGCAAAAGCGAACGCTCAGCCACCACTCGGCTTAGCTAAGGGAGGTGCATGGAGACTTTGTTTGCGACAGGGATTTTAAGGGGACCACAGCCCCCATGGCAGTGTCAGAAGTGACCATGTTCTTGGGCCCCTTCCTCTGCCTTGCAGCCACAGTGACCAAACCAGACGCGAGGGCCTTCTTCCCTGGCCTGGAAGGTTCAGGGGAGAGTGACGTTGACGGCCCTGGCCGCCATGCAACACGCCTCTTGATGAAATAGCCAGCAGAGTCCCCGCTCTGCCAAGTTTTAGGGCTTGGGCTGAGATCTGCCTCAGGGGCGGGCCACGCTGGCTCTAGCTGTGCCAGGAGGGCAGCGCACTGGTGTGTCAACCGGCCTATGTCGGCATTCTTTCTCAAAAGGAAAAGAAAAAGATGACATTTGGGGTTTTATTCCAGAATACCAATTACCCAGCTTGGAGCTGGCTATTCCCACAAGAAGGAAGAAAACGGGCGAATGATGGCTGGATGAGATCAGAGCGCTGCGCTCTGAGGCCCCGGGCCCTGCCTTGTGCAGACGGACAGCAGGGAAGGACACGGGAAGGCGGCCCGAGATGCTCCTCTGCAAGCGCTGTGGAAGGCAAGTGGCGGGGGGCTCTGGGGCGAGGATGCTGGGAGGAACTCGGCTTGCTGCTCGGATCCCTTGGGTAGGGGGGACGGCAAGATCGCCTGGACTGACTGGCTCCGAGACCTGCCCGCAGCATGTCTGCCGCTGTTCCCTGGTCTCTGCCCACCTGGGTGCCCACTCAAGTGGCCAGGCCTTGACCGCACTCTCTTCCAGCTACCAAACCTGGTGACGGTCTGGTGGCTGGCCGCTCACCTGGTTTTTGTAGCCCTTATCAACACCCAGGGTCTGGGTACAGAAGCGGTGCCTCACACCAAAGTGGCGCATCAGGTAGGCCAGGTCAATGGTCCAGATGCTCCTGGTCAGCCGCAGCTCCTGCAGGGCACTTTCAAACTCCCCGTCGTCCAGCTGGCCCAGGTACCTGTGCGCAGACAGGCCACTGAGGTTGGTTTGCCCTTGAAGGGAAGCTGGTTTGGATCACGTTCCACCTGCGGATCCATTAGCCATTGGCAGAGCTCCCATTCCACAGAAGGTTCTGTCCTTTGTCATGAAACCTTACGTGCTGCCCCCATGCTATCTGGGCACAATCTGGAGCTATCTGGGCGCCGTGCTGTCCCCGGAGTTGAGGGCCTAGATTCTGCTTCTCACATCTCTTGCGGGCTGTGTGACTTTGGGCAAGTCACTGCCCTCTCCGGCCTCACTAGCTTCATCTCTAAGATGAGGTGCTCGGACCACATCAGTAGTTTTCTATGTTTTAGGCAGAGAGTTCTTTTGTTGAACCCTATCTTGCCTGGCATTCCAGGACGTACAATGGTTAAGAGAGAAGCTGCTCCGAGCAGCAGCCACCTGAAAACACCTCCTTGGTGATGGCTACGGTCCTCCAGGCTCTGAGGGTCAAAGTTCCAGGGGTGTTCACACAGTCTCAGCTCAGTGGTTGGCTCCCCAGTGACCCAGTCTCCCAGGAGCCTGAGTCGGGAAGGTGGGAGGCCCTGTGTCCCAGCCATGGGGGTCACTCTGTGGGACAGGCCTGGGCACCAAAAACTTCCTGGCCATTCCCAGGGTCCCAGGCACTCCAAGAGGGGACCCCAGGAAGGCCCGGTCCTACCCTTTTTGCTTTTGCGCCTCAGTAGAAGCTGGGTCTCCCACATGCTCCAATCAAGGACGGCCACGTGGATGATGAATCCCACCCAGGTCTCTCCCCATGTCTCCCCGCAGCCATCGAGAGCCCGTGCTGTCGATGGCGAGGGCCTCGCCCCGCGTCCACTCACCGCAGCACCATCCTGGAGCAGGCCAGGCCGCAGTCCCAGTGGTAGAGCTGCTGGATGATGGGCACGGGCAGCTGCACAAAGTCCCCTGCGTGGAAACACAGGGAGGCCACGGGCGCTTGGCACAGTGCCCACCATGGGAACCGCTGTCATTGGCTCCTGTCCACACCCCGCAGGGGCTGTTCAGGGGCCGGCCCATAGCCTTTCTTGCCTCCAAATCCATTCTCCTCACAACAGCAGCAGTCTCCCCAAAACACCAGTCAGAACAGGTCAGCCCTGTACAGAATCCTCAGGAGGGTTGGTCCCCACATCTCTTGGGACAATGCCTCTATGGCTGCCACCCCAGCACCCTCTGCCTCCTTGCCTCCACTTGTCCTCACCAGGCCACCCTCCAGGCAGAATCTTCACCTGCCATATGGTTCCTTGTGCCCGTCAACTTTGCACACGTGCTCTCTCTGCCTGGACTCTCCTGGCCTCCTAGGTTCCTGAGCTAACGCCTTCCTTTGAATCTGTAAATCTGTGTGTGGAACACTACCCTGGGCAACCTCTCAATATGTCCTTGCCAAGCAGTGATGTGGGGCAGAAAGGGCCTGACCTAGGCGTTCCTGCCCGGGCTCGGCCACTGGCTGGCTGTGAATTGAGAAACTGACTTCCTCTTGTTGGACTGAGCCTGGCCATCTCTAAAGTGGGGGACTTTGGTCTGATTTGGTCATTTAATCAACAAATATTTCCCAAGGGCCTAGCGAGTGCCGGGCATGTTTACTACAGATAAAGTGGTTACTGAGTGGCCCCTGTCCTGGTACACAGCAAAAACAAGCAAGCGTAAGAGAAAAATGGGGGCGGTCAAGGAGAATGGTGGGGGCATGACCGAGACAGCAGGGAGTCAGGAAGCACAAGGCAAAGAGAGGCCGGCACGCGTTGCGGCCCTGAGGGGGGCGCAAGCTGGCACCAGCCTGCAGAACTCCCCCATTCTGGCGTCCCGTACACTTGGACAAAGTTCAGAGTCTAACGAGCCAGGAGGGACCTCCCTTCAGCAGTCACCACCACTCATGGCTCATTCACAACACCCGTCCCTCACATGAAAACCCAGCCCACGTTGTTTCCTCATCTCAGGGGTCTCTCTCGAGCCCAAGACCAGCCTGCGCACAGCTGCCGCAGGAACTGCTGCCATGCCGGCCCTGGCTCCCATGGCAGGCGCCACTCGGGAGGGTCACTCGTTAGCCCTGGAGTCTGTCCTGGCCTCCTGATCCGATGGCCTTATCTGGGCAGTCCCTTGCCTGGAGTGGGTTTCAAGCTCCTACTCTGGGTCTAAACCCTCCCCAGCACAGATGCCACCACTGGTGGGGCCTTCCCTGAGCCCGGGCTGGCCATGTTCTATCCTTTATCTCGAGTCCCACCACGTCCGAATTCATGCTTTGCCTCCCAGAGGGCACCCTTGCATGGAGTGTATGTGTGCTCTTCTGCGCTGCTGTACATTCCCAGGAGGCAGGGCCATGTGGCTGTTCCCTTGCTGCATGGCACTGGTCTCTCTCCCCGCACTCTGCCTCTCCCAGGGCGTGCAGCAGCATGGAAGGCAGGATGGCATGGGCAACTACAGGCCGCCTGCTGGCTGAGTCACCTCGAGGCACGGGACCTCTCTGTGCCCGCTTCCTCTTCTATGAAATGGACCATCACAGATGCCAGCCTGCAAAGTGCTGTGAGCGTTCAGGGCAGGAATGTGTGTACAGCCCCTTTTCAGTGTTGATGTGAACCCTGCCTTCCATCCAGCTTGGTGGGACCTGGGACATTGAGCCCAGGATGGGCTGAGGCTTTGTTTTCTCCTTTCCCCAACTCCAGGTACCTTTGGCCCTTCATTGAAGGCCTTCGCACATTCTCCTCTTTCTACTGCCACGGATTCAGTCCTGAGGGCCTAGTCCTGCCTGACTCCTGCCTGTCCTCTGCCCTAAATTCCTCCCCCAGATCCTCTTCCATCTCTGTATACAGAAGCCAGAGGGATCCCATCCATAGCTTCCCATTGCTCTTAGAGTTCTCAACCATTACCACGGTCTATAGGGCCCTGTCCAACCTGAGTCCCACCCCCTGTTCATGTTACCCTGGAAACCCATCAAGCTTCATTCCACCCCAGGGCCTTTGCACATGCAGCCCTCTCTGTCTGAAACTCTCCTTCCCTTGCTGTTCTCAAGACTGCCCCTTACTGTCATTCAAGTCCCATCTCGAAGTCCCTTCCTCTGATTATGCGTTTAGGGGAAGAAAGCACTTCAGAGCATCCTGTTTGTTTCCCTTCCTAGTATGTAGCAAAAGTAATAAAATAACATAAAATAATAATAATAATAATAATGCTACTCTGTCTCCCCAACAGAATGTAAGCTTCCTGAGGGCAGAGAATTTGCTAAACTTGTTCACTGTTACTCCCGGTGCCTGAGGTCTGATGCTTAGTAGCAACTCAATAATTAAGATTTGTTGGAAGAAATGAACTTATTAAGCACCCATTGTGTGCTAGGCCCTGGGTACGGTACAGTGACTAAGACCCAGGCCCTGCCCTCTGAGAATGCATATTCTAGATAATTCCCCCCCAATTGGGCTGAGTGGAGGGAGAGCTCTGTACAAGGTGTTGTCCCCTCATGGTGCACGCCTCCTTTGTCAAGAACCCCTCCCTGTGGCCATAAACTGTCTTTTTGTTTTTCTTTACACAGGCTGCTTACTCCCCAGACTTTGCTCTTGTATGTCCCTTAGTCTGGAATGCTGTCTCTCATCTCTAAATGTCCAAATGCTCTGGCCCGCTTCCCTCTCTGAGCCCCTCAATATGCAGTATTTGAGATGGTCTGCCTTCCCCACTGGACAGAGGGAGAATTCCTCACTGGCAGGTGGGGACAAGGTGGCACTTACCTCCTTCTAACCCTCAGCCCAGAGCAGGCACTCAGACATGCGTGGTGAATGAAAGGCATTTTTCTCCAAAGGCCTTATCCCTGCAGATGCCCCAGGCCTGCCTGTCACTGCAATGCCCAGCACCCCCGCCGCCGGACTTCCAGGCCACAGCCCTCTGTGCATGGCTCCCTCCTTACTCTGTGGGCTGGGCTCTGGTATCAACTAGCTGTACCATCTGTGGCTGGACTTTGAGTCTGTCCGTGCTTTCCCCTATACCCAGCTGTAAATGTGGCACAGGACAGCTGCTCTGAACGCTGCTGTCCCCTCTCTTCTTGCCCTGATCCTTGCAGTCCCCAAAGTGATACACATCCCCAGTCTTGGCACCAGGGGGTCAGCCCCTAGGGACCAAGAGAGACTCGTGCAGGGGATGATAAGGGTAGGCGAGGCCTTCCAAGCCCAAAGCTGCTGCTAGATGTTGATGCCTGGAGCAGAGGGACTGTCCCACCTGAGAGCTAGGGCCTGCCTAGAAGGCCTTGGCTGGCTTCAGTTGGTAGCTGTCACCAAGGAAGGAAGGCAGCTCACTGGCCCTGAATACTTAACGTCTCTCAGGCTCAGTCAGCTCATCTGTAAAAGTGAAAATAACAATGGTAACCTACATCACCGCATTGTTAGGCGGATTAATGAGGCACTGCATGTGCACAACTTAGCACATTGCCTGCTCAGAGAAAGCTCCCTAGGAAGGTGAGCCATTACCCCACTGAGGTTCAGGAAAAGCAAGGGCTTGGTCCAAGATCCCAGGGTTGGGGGAGTAGGATGCAAATCCCAGGACAGCATCAGGCCCAACTCCTTGCTGCAAACACCAAGGGTGTGACACTAAGGTCACACTGATGCTTTAGTGCCAGAGTCCCACATGCTCTTGACCTCTCCCATTAGTTGGCACCTCACTTCAGAGTTTTCTAGTACTAGCACTTTCTTATCGACCCTGTGCCTTAAGTAGAGCAGAGGTCATTACTTCTCCCTTTCCCCTCTTAGAATCATGACACTGAATGTGTCTTGGTTTCTGCACCAAAGGAATTCAGTCCACCTTGGAGCAGAAGAAACTAGAGGGTGAAGAACTGTACAAGACGAAACGCTCAGTCCGAGAGGCCAAAGGAAGGGCCCTGCCATTGCTCTGTGCTCTCAGCAGTTCCCTGTGCTTCTAGGCCTCAGTTCCTTCAGGGGTCAATATTTCCTAAGGCGGCGCCAGCAGGACGTCTCGCTGCTGAGAAACGTGGCGTCCCTGCCTCAGAACGCGGGACCCTCCCACCATGACCTCTATTAGAGCTGACTGCGGTCCCAGCCCTGGGAGTATCAGGAATACCCAATAGACCGAGGCTGGGAGTTGGGAGGCCAAGGCGGCTGTGTTCACCTGGCCAGGTTTCGCTCGAAGCTCTACAGCTCCTCCGGAGGCGGCGGTCGGCCCAAGGTCGCGCGGCCAGACCGTGCCCCGCGCTAGGGCGGGATCCCCCACGTTCCCCGGGGTCAGGGTTGGGCCCTGAGGGAGGCACTAACCGGGCTCGAGCGGTGGCCCCGCTGCCTCCGCCTCCGTCCTCATGACCCGGGCGGCGCGGGGCGCCCATGGCCCCGGCCTGGCGCCGGCTGCAGCTTCGGCTTCAGCGGGGGCGGGAACGGGGATGGTACGTGTCGTGTTCCTCCGCCGCCACTTCCACCGCCACCTCGGTGGGGAAAAGGGGAGGTGTCTAATGGACCGCCCAAGCCCCGCCCCAAGCCCCGCCCCAGCCCTTCCAGGCCTCCGATCCCGGGACCCCGCCCCTTTCTTAAGCCATGCCCCTTCCCGGGGCCTCCTAAGAGCCCCCTCCTTTCGCCTTCCCTGGACTCCTCCAGGCTCCAGGTCTAAGCCCTCTCCAGTTACTCGCAGTCAAGGCTTCGGGTGACCCCACCTCTTCCCCAATCTTCGCACAGATTCGCGGTTTCTTCTCCACCTCCGTTCTCTGGAAGCCCCGCCCCTCTCCCCGAATCCCGCCCTGAAGCCCTGGCGTTCCGCGAGCCTTGGCTCCCCAGAGGCTTTTCCCTTCGCTGCTCAGCTTCTGCTCGGCCCCGCCTACTTGTCAGTCTCAGGTCCAAGCCCTTCTCCTGTCTCAGGCACCTCGAGACTCCAGAAGACTTAACCCTTTTCCGAATCCCTTCAGGGACGACCCCCTTCCCTCACTCTATACCTCCCTATCCGTACGGTGAAATAGCTCGCCTCGCTCAGGACTCCCCTTACCTGGCGGTGCTGGGTTCCGAAGGTTAAATCGTGAGGGAAGGTTCTAGCTTTCGGCCTCGCCGCCTGCCACCCGCGATCCGAGGGCCCAGGCCTCGGATCTCTGCCTTCTGCTCTAGCCCGTCCCTGATGTGGGGTGCTTGCAAGCGCGATCTCCCCTCTCCACTTGCCGGCCTGGGGGTCGGTATTTCCGGCAGCACCTGGGCCCCGTTATCAGTCCTCTTTTCCAGGGCCGGAACGATCGGACCAGAGTCCACGTTTCCTACCCGGAGGGGTGATGAGGAAGCGGAGGCGAGACCGCGCTCGCCTCTAAGAAAAGGAAGGGGACGGGCTCTGCGCGCGGCATTTTGGGAACGCGTGGTGCTCTGGGAGAACCGGACCGCCATTCGCTCCACTCACGCCCTCGGAGTAACCTGAGTTGCTGCGACCGCCGCCGCACCGGGAAGCAAGAGGAGGCCGGAGCAGGTGAGGAGAGGCCCAGGGCAAGCGAGGGTAGGCCGAGGCACCCTTGAGGGATCTGGGGCTGGAGAAGGACCTACTGCCTTGGAGCTCCGCAGGGTTCGGGGAGGGAGAAGAGCGGGAAACCCAGGCAACCCAAACATCAGCGTCGCCTGACTTAGCACCTGGAAGTGAGTTCATTAGCTTTACCCCGAAGTACATGCTTTTCACTTTCTATACCTCTCCGGTCCGTTTTTGTTTTTCGAAGTATGCAGGCCGTGGAAGTAATTTCTGGCTGATGCCTCCATCACCTGAATCCTATCTGGGTAATCCTTGTAAAAACTTCTTTGCATCTTTGCCTCCATCCCACTTTCAGGCACTGGCGCCCTCATACTTTCCACACTGTTACAGAAGTTTTATCAACTTTCCCTGCTTCTAAACTGTTAGATCCATTGTGTAAGTGCTGTTGCCTTTTCATTGGATCATTCCTTACCTGAAGTCTTACAGTGATTCCCCATTGTCTTCAGCATAAAACTCAAATTTCTAAGACTTCTCACCAAGGGAGCCTGTCTTTCCCAACCTCATGTTTCCTTTCCTCTCTTGAACACACACGATGGGTTCCAGCCTTCAGTCGTTGCTTATTTTGGAATTTAAAAAAATCCACATCTTGTCTTTTATAATTAGGTCATCAGGTGATTATGTTTTTGTCTCCCAAGGTAAGCATTTCCTGCTTATGACACATTGCCACTTCGTGAACACTTTGACATTTTCTTTTTAGCCTTGATGGTGAATTGGAGGGTCAAAGGGCATTGACACGGTTTAATTAAATGCACAGCCTCTTCTGGATTTGCCTGGCTCCTTTGTTTATATCAGCAATCATCAATACTGTGTATATGTATTCCCAATATAGCCACATGTGGCTGTTGAGCACTTGAAATGTGTTTAGTGTGACTTCAGGAATGAATTTTAAAATTTTATCTCATTTTAATTTTAATAGCTACATGTGGGCAGACAGTGGCTGCTATTTTGGACAGCCCAGGTCTATATTGTAGGTTCCCAAAAGGGTGTTACCACAGCTATGGGTTGGCAATACATTGTAAGGTACATGTATTACAATTCTCATCCCCCAGTACACACAAAGTTGGTTATTTGATGAAGATAAAAGGACACATTGTAGCGGGGTGGGGGAGGTGGAGTATCAGGCCTTGAGAGAGGCATGGTGTATGCCACATGCCTTCTCAGGCTCTGCAAGATGAACTAACTGTTGTCTTTCTCACTGTAGAACTGTCTTCCTACCAAGATGTCTATTGGTGTGCCTATTAAAGTCCTACATGAAGCGGAAGGTCACATTGTGACGTGTGAGACAAACACCGGTGAGGTGTATCGTGGGAAGCTCATTGAGGCAGAAGACAACATGAACTGCCAGGTATTCTGCTCTGCACTTGACATTGTAGGGAGAACTTGTCCCTCTGTCTTAGAGAACAGAAAGATGGCGATCGGAGGTCTTTTTGAGGTTGTTCTCATTGAACAGTTATTAATAGAGTGTCTAATGTGTGCCAGGGACTGTTAAAGGTGCAGGAATGTGAGCATGAATAAGAGCCATTTGGAATTTTGGGATATTTTAACTTATCCTTTGTTTTCTTAATTCCATAATCATTTTATCCCATATTTTGGGGACCTGTTTAAGAGAAGTGGTACTACTTCCCTTTTTAAAATCCTTCAGGTTCAGACCATTATACATTTGCCTTCACATGTTTGCATAACGCTTTACAGTTAGAATCTTCTGTTCACTTACTGTGTTTATTTGCCATTTTCTTGGGGGGCGGGAGTGAGTTTCATTTGATTATAGGAACTACCTTTTGTGGAAGTGGGTTAGGTGCAAGTTTTGTCATCCATAAAATAGGAAGAATAAGATTAAAGGACTCATCTACTGAATGGCACCTGCTAATAAATGTTGGAGCAGCTTCCTGATACACTGCCCTTCCCTTAGCGCTATTTTGCCTTTTGCTAAAATCACATGAATTTGTATGACATTAAAAAATGTGTCAACATATTTTCTCCTTTGTCCTTCAAACCATCAGTTCAGAGCTGGGACTTTGTAATGAGATGTTGGTTTGACTCTTATATGACCTTAGGTATGTTAATCACCTCAGTCTCTTCCATCTGTAAAAGGGGGATGGTGTTATTTTTGGTCCTGTGTGATAAAGATGCCAAGAGTGAAGAGTCCAGCATGGGGGAGAAATGGCCTGACCCCACTACCTCTGCTATAGCCAGTCATTGGCTGGCTGGCCTGGGAGAGAGTGGCCTCAGAGTGACTACTGTGGTGGATCCCAAAGGTGGCACCTGGAGGCTCCCTGCATTCCTTACAACCTCTTGTTCTTTTGAAGGGAGATCTCAGCACAGGGATAACACCCGTGCTGCAGGGTTCCAAAGATCAGATGAGTTGTGTGTGTGCAGCAGGTAGCTCAGTACCTTGCACATTATAAATTCAACATAGGGTACCTGTTATTGTTTCCCAGGTGAGAAAACTGAAGGTGAAAGAGATAAAGTGATTTATCCAAAGTCACCCTGTGGATCAGGTGTCCTAACTCTTCATTGCTTCCCAGGGTCATTCATTTATTTGTGATTTCTTTGTAGCTTTGAGCATCATCGTTCTGCTGAGTTGACCCGCTGGGGCAGTTTCCTGGCATTCAGGGAGATAGGCATCTGGTGACTACAAGCTTCTCTCCTCAGTGTTAGTGCCATGGAGGTGGGTGGTGTGGGCTCGGTAGGTCCTGTGGGCCTTCGCCTCCTTTGCCTTTGTGAGGTACCACAAAGATCTAACCTGGTTTAAGGCATCCTTATTCATTTTAAGGGACTTTAGTTTGGTGAGTAGAATGCAAGATGGGTGGTGGGGTAGAGAATCTTGATGTGTTTATTTAGCTATTTATTTGGATAGCTTACCGAGCCTCAGGACCTCAGACTTCCCATCTGTAATGTGAGGGTGTTTGACCAGGCGACCTGGGTGGCCTCTCAACTGCAGCCAGTGAGAGACACATCTGGAATCAGGTGGCAGCCAGCCTGCCACCTAGTGTGACTTGGAGTGAGCTTTTGACCTCCCTCACCCTCTGTTCTGTTCTTTCTAAGTCAGTAATGAAAATAGGACCTCAGTCTGAGGAACATAGTTGCAGAATAAATAATCAGGTGCTTGTCAAATACTGGGGGCCAGCCACCTTCCTCCAGCCTGTATTAATCTGCTAGGGCTGCCATAACAAAGTTCCAACCTGGGTGGCTTAAACAACGAATTTATTCTCTCGGGGTCTGAAGGCTAGAAGGCTGAGATCAAGGTATTGCAGGGTTTGTTCTTCTCCGGGCCACAAAGGAAGACTTGTAGATGGTTAGCTTATTCCTGTGTCTTCAAATGGTCTTCTTTCTGTGTGTGCTTGTATCTTAATCTCTTCTTATAAGGACACAAGTCATTGTTTTAGAGCCCAATTACCTCTGTAAAGATCCAGTTTCTAAATACAGTTAAATTCTGAAATTCTAAGGGGTGAAGACTTCTACATAGGAATTTGGGAGGGAATCATAGTTTAGCCCATAACACTGCTGATCCCCAGATGCAAGGCTTCCCTGGGTCTACCTAAATCAGCCACATTGAATAAAACCCAGTCGGCCGTGGCAGAGCTGACCCTGGCGGTGATGACCACTGGGCACAGCTGACTCGCAGTCCTGGGAACTAGGAGGCCAGTAGGTCCGGCAGTGCCTGCTGGCCCCATGTGGCAGCTTTGGGGATAAGAGCATCCTCTTAGAACTCTTGCTGCTTATTCTATGCTAAGGGCAGCTGTGCTTGCCATTTGATGTTGGGTTTTAATAATATTTTTTTAACGTAAAAATGGGGTGGGTTGCTCCACAAAGATTGGGAAAACAGATGAGAGAATCCCACAACAGCCACAGTTGGCATGGACTTTCACCCCTAGGGATGTATTTTGAGTCTTTAATATTTAATTTTTACTCTGTCCCTTTTCAAAAAGAGTTAAAGGTAGCTTACAAAAATTTATTGGTAGGATACACGTAATGGGTAGGTCAAGGTGCACGTAAGCTCGGCTGGACAAATGAAGCCAGGAGTCAGTACCCAGAAACGTAAACTTGAATCCTGGTACATTTAACAAAGAATCATTCAGGTATAAGCTTAGAACTTGCAGGCAAAGGGAAATGATCAGCTCTAAAGTGCATAGTGTCCTTAAGACGAAATACCACTTGTGTGGTTTTCCGAAGGCACTCATATATATAGGAGACTTTTTTTTCCGGGCCCCTGGTGGAGTTACTCTTATTATTAGCTAATGTGCCCAACAATATTCCCATACAAAATGTGCCTTCTTTTGGGTTCCTTGCATATTTTTAATGTAGCCTCTAATGACCCTTTTTGGCGTTTGAAAATGTAATATATACACAAGTTAAACTTAGGATGAGGTCCCTGAGATGGTGCTTATGGGGCCAGAGGGCATAGGCGCTTCTGTGCATCTGAGGTTTCTTCTGCTGGGATGGCAGGGAGTCTTTCTCTCCCATTCCGAGACCCCACAGCTGCAAGGCGAGCATAATCCAGTGGCCAGTGCTGCGGTGTGTGGCATCAGCCATGGAGGACAGTGCACTGCCTGTGGCTGCCCTGGGTGTCTGCTGAGGGCCCCGTGTGCGGGGGGTAATAAGCAAGACCCCTCTTTAGCTGACTGTTGTTCACAGCAGAGAAGGGACCTGATGAAGGAGCAGGCCCCACTTCTTGCCCGGCTGGGGTCTGGATGACAACCAGCAGCCTCCAAGTGGGGAAGCTTCTGTTCTTGGTTATGCAGATGCACCATGGGCTTAAAAGGGGTCTAAGGGGTTTTTATTCAAAATCAAGAAAATAATTTTTTTAAAGAACGAATCCTCCTAGTCATATATTTGGTGAAATATTAAAAACCATAACAGGAGCTTTAGGGTGAGGAATAACGAATAGAAATATGCACATCATTTTGATTTTATAGACTAGACTCTGAGACAGATGCTCAGAGTGACCAAGCGTGGCAGAGGCAGATCTAAACCCAATTCTCTAACATCTTTAGGGTTTTTAACCAGTCTCTCAACATGAAGCATCGAGTAAACCTGTTAGCTCCTGTGGCCTCTGGATGTGTCAAACCCTCAGCTCTGTCAGATTTCAGGCAGGAAAGTGAGTAGCGGGGATCAGAGGAGCAGAAGGAGGCTCTCCTGTTAATGGCAGGCAGAGTGCTTACCGTGCGCCCCACCGCAGGAGCGCAGTGATGGAGGATTTTGCAACCCCTGCCGTTGCCTCACTGCCCTGGAGCTAGTGCTCGCTGCCTTGGCCTTGGCTATAACAATATACTGCAGTAAAAGTTATGTGAATGGGCTTTGGGGCCGTTATTAAGTAAAATAAGGATTACTTGAACACCCAGACAGTTGATCTGATAACCAAGATGGCTACTAAGTGACTGACAGGTGAGTAGTGTGCGCATTGTGGATGGGATGGACGAAGGGATGATTCGTGTCCCCAGGGGGACAAAGCGGGATGGCATAGGGTCTCCCATCCGAGTACCGACCAGGCCCGACCCTGTGTAGCTTCCGAGGTCAGACGCGGATGGCATACAATTTCATCATGCTACTCAGAGTGGCACGCAGCTTAAAACTGAAGAATTATTTTTGAATGATTTCCCGTTTAATATTTTTGGACTGTAGATAACTGAGGGGGCTACTGTACTAAGATCCTCTCTCCCGCAGAATGGCATTGAGGTTGGGCACTTGGCTTGCTTAGCCCATCTGTGTTTCATTGTGGTTATTTGTGAAAGTTGAGTAAACTGGGTGTTCTTGCCTAACCTTCATTAAAACCTATTTTACTCAAGTTATTGCCTATGACTTATGACGGGAACGTAGCTCAGGCTTATTACAAACAAGCTCTGTGGGTGGGCGGACGGGCAGTGGGAGCGGGGGGCTTTGTACGCAGCGCAGCTATTTCTGCTGCCGCAGGGAGAGCGTGAAAGTACAGCAGACCAAGTTCTGCGGGTTCCAATGGGAGTCAGAGTCACACTGGCCTCTTCCCTGCTTCAGCCAGAACCCATACCATTTGTGAGAGCACTCAGTTTACGTCATGTTGCTCTTATGTAGCAGCCTCTTTCAGGGCCTTCCAAACCAGATCGGGGAAATACTGACAGGAAGGAATGAGATGTACCGGTGCGCGCTGGAGAAGTGACTTGGCAGCAGCCCAGCCCCCCAAATAGACATTTAAAAAAATAAAATCTCAAATCCTTCCCTCATTTAGATTCACCATTTACTGAGATTCTGTTACGTGCTAGATGATAGGAACAACATTTGGTCATACATGTCTCATTTAATCTGCTCCTTAATGGCTCTAGGAAGTAGGGGGTGGTCTGATGCGTAGGTAAGCATGTGGGGGTAGTCAAGTGGGCCTGGCTTTCAGCCCCAGCCAGGCCCACACAGGGGCAGTGTGAACTCAGGCAGGGCAAGAGAAGGAGTGGGTCAGGGCTTAGCCCTCTGAGGACAGATCTGCCTGATGAGCAGGGCCACTTCACCTCTAATGGCAATGGTCATAGTATCTCATAGGATTGTGTGATATAAAATAAGTTGCGATGTGAAATCTCCTGGGACACTAACAAGAGTTCATTGAATGTTGGCTTTGTTATGATGTATTTTTCCTCGCTTTGTAGGTGAGGGACCTGAGGCTCAGGAGCCAGGAAACTTAGCCAGGGCTGGGCCTCACGTACAGGTTCCCAGGTCTGTTCTGCCTTCCATGGAATCACGGGTGTGTCTGGTATGGTGAGCCTGGGTCAGGTGGATGTTTCTCTCTCAGGTAGTCTAACCATACATAGTGTTCATTTGTGGCACCAGAGGTTATGATGATCTTCAAGGCAAGAAAAGGATGGCAAGGACTTAGAAGCTGTGTGAAATTTTGCTAAGTATTCAGGGTGTTCAGACATATGCTGGGTGGTGAGTTAACACTTAAAGAAAAGAGTGAGGGAGTATAAGATGGCAACAGACCAGTCAAACATCTGGGGAGACAGACAGCACACCTCTCTGCAATATGGGCTTCGCCCATTCTGAATAAATTGTGGTCCTCTTTCCTCCAGATGATTCATAAAATAAGCTACTTTTTCTGGTTAATGTGGTACCTTTGAGACTGGCCCTAGCGGGTTTGTGTCACCTTCCCCCATCAAGCCAGTCTCCTGGCTGGTCTCCCCTCTCGGCTCCCTATCCCCCCGTCCCCCAGTTTATCCCTGTTGGCCTCCTCATCTTTCCTAATTGCTGCCCCCCGTCCTATCCATCCTTCCCCTGTCCGCGAGCTTGAGTGACTCCCGTAGTGTCTGAGGTGACGGCCCTGTCCTTCATCCCAGTTCCACTTCTCCAGTCCTGGTATCCTGTAAGTTCCTGCCTGAGTGTCCTGTGTCTTTGTGCCAGCTCTGGCCTTGACCCTCTTCTACATGCCAGGCCCTTCATACAGTCACTGCCCCTTCCGCTTCTCAGTCCATAGTCACCCAGGCCAGATGGGCCCTTCTAGAGTGTGCACTCTGAGAGACTGGGCACCGCATCTCGTGCATGCTTGTGACCTCCACGGTGCCCTTGCAGTCTGTGCTGGGCAGATGTAGCAGGGGACACAGAGTTTGGACGGGCAGGTCAAAGTTGTTTTAATTAGAGTTAATCACCACTGAGAGCACTTCACATGCTGACGGGGGGCAGGAGAGCAACGTTAGAGCTCTGGGACCAGGCCGCCTGAACTTGAATCTGGAGTCCCTACATCCTGGCGTTTGACTTTGGACAAGTGCCTTAATTTTTTTTTTTTTTTTTTTTTTTAATTTCTAAAAATGGTAAGGCTCATACCTACCCTAGAAGTGCTGTGAGGACCCTATACGAGGCTTGGCTCCGTGTAGTACAGGGTTCCTCCCGTTAGGTGAGTGCTCTAGGAACCCATCTGTATCGGTGTGCCAGCTGGCGTTGTGAGAGGATGCATTCAGCTTCAGTGAACTTTTTTTGAAGATTCTTTCAACATGTTTGCCCATTTCATGATGGGTGATTTGCAGGTGCACCTGCCAACATCATGCTGAGTGTTCAGAAGTTTTTGACCAGAAGTGGCGTGACCCCTGTGTCACACCCTCCCTATTCACCTCATCTTGCTCGGAATGACTTATTTTGCTGTTGTTTCCCCCATGAAAAAAGTTCTCAAAGGGAAATGTTTTGCTGATGGTGGAAGAGATAAAACAAAAAAAGAGCAGAAGCACTAAAAAAAGATCAAAGTTGACATGTTCAAAAACTGTTTTGAGCAGTGGAAAAAGCGTTTTGATAGGTGTATTGATCAAATGGAAAGTACTTCGAAGGTGACTGAAGTTTGAACATACAAGAATAAATACACGATTTTTTATAAATAAATTCCAAGGTTTTGAGGGGATTGCCCCCCCACATGTAAGCTATTTAACACAGTCCCTGACACGCAGTAGGTACTTGTCTTCCCCTGGCTTTGCCTGGTTCCTTTATTTCATGGTGTTAGTTTGTGCATTTCTGGACTTCCCCTACCACCAACCAAGCATCCCCGCTCGCCTGAGTGCGTTGTGTGTCCCTGTTCTGGGCTGGTCCTGTTGGGCCTCCCTGATGAGCTGGTGCTTTTCTTCCAGATGTCCAACATCACAGTCACATACAGAGATGGCCGAGTAGCTCAGCTGGAGCAGGTATATATCCGTGGGAGCAAGATCCGCTTTCTGATTTTGCCTGACATGCTGAAAAATGCACCTATGTTAAAGAGCATGAAGAATAAAAACCAAGGCTCCGGGGCTGGTCGGGGAAAAGCTGCCATTTTGAAGGCCCAAGGTAGGTATCCTCATGCACTGGTTTTAACATACAGGTGTGTTGTGTATCTTCTGGGGAAGGGCCCTACTGTTGCCTGGGCGTGGAGGTGGGCCTGGCTTCAGCCATTTCCACACCCACTGCTACCCCTTTTACCTAAACCCTTGGGCGCCCACCTGTGAGGAGCTGTCCTGCCCTCGCTGTCTTGCCTTGCCTGGTTGCATTCTGAAGGCTTATGCAAAATCCAAAGTGGCTCCTTAGAAAAAAGATGAAGACTTCTGCCTTAAATGAAAGAGCAGGTTAGTCTTATCTCTAGGAAGGTCTCCGTTTCCAGAATTTTGACCAAGGAACCTGCGGGAAGCTTGCCCTGGTCTCATGAGGGATAGCTTGGCTTCTGAAGCAGTGGGGTAACAGTTCCCAGAGAGCCTGTGGATATGTATTGACACTCAGCGTAAACCAGGAGAAATGCTGGTGGTAGAGATCCATTTTCAGACAAGAAGTAAGCAGTTTTCAGCCATCTTTGTCCATTATAGGTCCAGACTTCTGTTTTCAAACCTTCTATTTGAGAATAAGTTCTTTCTTTAGCATATTCTGAACGTGAGACTAGCCTTTTTCCTGTGACTTAGTTTGACCTTTCTTCTGGGTTAGTTCAATCAGAGGTGTTCTATTTCAGTCTCTGGAAAGTTCTGCCATGTTGATTAGCTAAAGAAAGCTAGTATAGTCATTAGAATCTGTCTTAATATTGGTAAAAAGATTTACAGTGTAGAAAAGTCACTGGGTTCTCTATCAGTATCTTTAACTGCTGTATGTGTTTTGTATATGAAGTAACCTTTGGGTTTAAAGATGCAGTAAAGAAATCCTTTAAAATGCATTGCTAAAAAATGGATCAGTTAAACCTCCTTGCCCTTTCTAGGCAAGAGGCAGTTGTGGAGAAGTAGAACCAGAAGCCCTGGAGCTTTTGTCCCGGAGAACGAATGATTTCAGAAATGCCACTTTCTTGCTAGAATTGCTGTTCTCTCTGCTTTCTCAGGGAAGGGCCATCCCCATTGTCACTGCGTCACTATACCATCTTTAGCAAAAGGCGAAACCCAGTAGCTGTGCACTAGAAGGCATTTGGCAGGGAATTTGCTCTGGTCCTGTCAGCAGGTGCTGGGTTCTCAGGTGACTTCTTCCCTCTTCAGGGAAGCTCCAGGCTCTGTAAGAGGAGAGGAGGGCAAGGTAGCCATTAGGATATTGTCACCTGTCCTTGAAAGCCACTGGTCCTCTCCTGCACCCCTTGTTGTATCCTTTGTATGGAGACTGGTTTTGGGAGTTTTTTTGTGAGTTTGTTTTTGTTTCTATTATAAAACATTTCATACATGCAAAATCTGTCAAAGAATAGTAAAACCCCTTGCCTAGATTTAACAGAGGTTAACATTTAACTGTATTAGTTTCAGAATTTTAAGTGTAAATTGAATGCATCTGTTATGTTTTATGAGCTCACGCGAGGCCAGCTCTGGGAACTCATCTTTTCTGTGGTTCTCAGACTTCTCCCCAAATCCTTCGTTCTCAGTGCCCTGCCTGTCGGCTTCCGTAGAGAGTGGTGCTGCACTGGGAGGCAGGAGCCTGGTGCCTGCTCCAGCCCTGATGCCAGTCCTTGCTGCTTTCTGGGTTTCTGTTTGCCCTTGTGAAATGTTTTGGGGACAGGTCTGATGATGGCCAGGTGGCATTTCAAGCCCCTTTCTATACCACTGTCCCAGAGCTCCAAATGCTCTGTGGCATGAGCACTCACTGACTGTATTGACCTGGACCTGTCCTTTCTCTTCCCCACCTTTCAGTGGCTGCGAGAGGAAGAGGACGTGGAATGGGACGTGGAAACATCTTCCAGAAGCGAAGATAAATTTATCTGTTGAACGGAACTTTTTCTTTATTTTTTCTTTCAAGTTATCCAGATGGGGAAGAATGTTGCTTATATGTATGCCCTAGGTGTTTTAATGCTCGCTTGCTCAAGGATTTATTTTCGTCACTCAAAGATTTTTTTTTCCATTGCTTTTAGAGAAATGGGAGGGGAGGCAGAAAGAGAGGGAGAGAAATTTGGTATTAGAGGGAAACACCGTTCGGTTGCCCTATGTGCTTGCCACAATTGACCCTTCGGTTTGCGAGATGATGCCCAACCAAAGTTCACAGGCCAGGGCTGTCGTAGGTTTTGACATCTTTCTCTTTAGCTCAAGGGAAATGTCAAACTTAATAAATGTGGTTGTTGTTTTTTTCTTTTTGAGAAAATACAGATTGTGTGTTCATTTTGGAGTTTGGTGTTTTGTTTGCTTTGGCAACAGGTTAAACTTTGATGCCCTCACAGATGTCTTGGGAAAATGCCAGTACTTTGAAGTAGCAGTTATTAAGCAAAGTTTAAATGGCTGTTCCAGGCCAGTTGGCTGGTTAAGCCCTTACAAAAGCTCTGCAAATGCACAGACTGTCTCATTTATCCTCAGACACAGGGACTACATGGTGCTTTGTTCAGGGAACCTTTATGGAAATGTCACCAGTTCAGCTTGAAAAATACAAAGGTGCTCCTGGCCCTTGACAAAGTCCAGTGCTGTGACCTTTGAGCCTGAAATCCTTGGTGGTTCCACATTTAGCAAAAGTAATCTAATATTAAAAGGCGATTCAGAGACTCTTAGTGACCAACATCTGTCTCTCATACTGACTTTGCAAGCAATCTTGTGGGGACAGATTCTTGTGCATTTATCAGAGTATCGCAGCATTGATTGACACAGCCACAGCTTTTAATGTAGCAAAGGTAGAGAGGGCAGGGTGTGCAGAGTGAAAAACTAACAAAAACACAGAAATTGGAAAAGCATTCTGAGTAAGTCCAATAACAAAAAGAGGTCTTACACAGGGTTCAGTATAGGATGAGCTACAGCAAAAAAGGTGGAAAGGGGATCAACTACTGCCCTTCGAACCTCGCTCATTGAACAGGTTTAAGTAATGGAAGAAGAGGAAGAAGGAAACCCAGCATGTCTGTTAAGCTGGCATCAGATAGGGATTTTCTAAACAAGCTTTGCTTTATAGTCATGGCACTACCAAGAGGCAGCAAACCCTTTATGATTTCTGTAGTGAAGAACTCCTAAGGAGCAAGCATTGGCGGGGTCAGTGGGAAAGGAAAGCACAGGCACATCAAGTGAAGCTTCAGAGACCGTCCCCCGGAGCAGCCCCTGTGTCTCGCCCCACCACCCCCACCCCTCTGACGCTTGGATGAAGTGGGTGCCTGGCCCCGTAAGCAGTACTGCTCCAGAGGTGGGGTTCCTGGATGTGGGGCCATGTCACATGAACTTAAGTTTATTTGCTTTAGATTTCATCATGAACTAATTTATTGTTTCTGGTAAGAAAACTTGTGTGCTGAATTTCATGTAGATTTCTTTACTCTGCATTAGCTACTTTGCATCTTCTGTGCTGGTCACCTTGATTTACAAACGTTGATTTATTTGGCTTATTAATGAAGCTTCCTGAATGATTAGTATAGCAAGTGGGAGCAGTGGTTGTCAATGTCACCTAGGGGTCTTGTTAGAAATGAAGATTCCAAGGCCCCCCCCCAGAGATGGTGGTTGGTTGGAATTGAGTGGGGCCCAGGAATCTGCATTCTAAACATTGCCCTTGCTACCCCAGCTAGGTGATTAAGATTCAGTATATCTGAGGCCACATTTTGACCCTCGACTAGAGTATGGTTTTGTGTGATCACTACTTAAGTTATACTTTATTGTAAAACAGTAAACATTATACTTCAGATCCAGAATCTGAAAAGCTGGCTTTGGACATGGTTCATGCTGGAAGCCATGCAGGAACGCCAGCGCTGCGTGATTCTACGCACAGTGAAACCTAGGTGTATCCCTGCCCAGATCCTGAAAAGTGAAGTACCTTACAGTTTTGTTTCTAATCACATGTTCACAGTAAAAAGTCTGAAGAGCTTTACAAAACAATAAAAATGAACCTAAAACATACAGCTTTATAATAAGTTTTATATCCTGCATTTTAGAAGAAAAATCAGGTATTCACATTGAAAGAGCAAATAGTTCTACAAGGTTTATTATGAAAAACAGCATCTGTCCTACCCTACCTGCCTTTGGGCCCCTCTTCTCTGCCTCAAGAAAGTATTCCCCTTTATTTTTAGAGAGAGGAGAAGGGAGGGAGAAAGAAAGGGAGAGAAACGTATGGTGGCTTCTCGTCCCAAACAGGGACCTGGTCCACAACCCAGGCACGTGTCCTGACTGGGAATTGAATCGGCAACCCTTTGGTTTGCCGGCCAGCACTCAACCCACTGAGCCATGCCAGCCAGGTATCAATTTCTTCCTGACCTGTACCAACCTGGACTAGCTCTCCCTTGGACCTAATGTGTCTCCTGTCTGTGTGTGCTCTCCCCACACCTCTTGGTTGAATATCCTGTTTTCTTTGTAACCTCCTCTCTCGGTCTATTACCTCATACTGGTAGAGTCTTGCTGTACAAGAGGTACATCGGGAGTAGTTTTTAATAGACTGCATGTCTGAAAATGTCTCACACTTGATTTGATTGGTTATGAAATACTAGGTTGGGATTTTCCTTTAAAATTTTGAAGGCATTGTTACATTTTTATCTGGCATCTTACATTGCTTTAAGTCTGAAGCCATTCCAAGTAATGACTCTTTGTATGATTTTTTCACTTCTGTTGCCAGTGTTCTGAAGTTTCACAATTGGCGAAGGTCCGTTTTCATGCATTGGGCCAGGTTCTTGAACCCTCTCAGAATGGGCCCTCATCTTTTATTTTTGGGAAACTTTCTTAAATTTTTTAAAAATTTAATTTTTAGAGTGGAACAGAGGGAGGAAGAGGGAGAGAAACATCGATGTGAGAAACATTGGTTGCCTCATAGGCACCCTGACCAGGCATTGAACCTGTGACCTTTTGCTTTGTCGGACATTGCCCAGGCTGCATGAATCAGGGCATCTTAAATTATTTTTTAGTGATTTTCTTCCTTTGATTTTCTGATTTTCTTTCTGGATTCCCTGTTAACTCAGATGTTGGATCTCCTGGACTTACCTGTTTTTCCTAGCCCTTCTCTACCTGTACTTCTCATTTTCTTGTCTTTTGATCTCTTTATGGAAGATTTATTTCCCCAAGCTAATTCTCTGAATGTCCCTTTCTGTTTTCTTATTTTTTAATAGTACCCTGGACCAGGGTTGCAGTATCTTACCTCTGATGACATTAACATGTTTTGTTTTTTATTTATTTTTTAAGGGTATGTTTATTACAGGTAGGGGTAGTGAAACAAGAAATGGCTTACGGTAGAAGAAGCAACAGGAGAGAGCCTAGGTGGAACCGCTTTGGCTCACTGGAAAGAGGAAACAGGGCCTTGGAGACTGGATTGAGGGTTAGCCCGGGAAGAGCTGCCGCTGCCTATTGCTCCCCTGGTTGCAAGTCTCGTGGGGACCTGTAGAGTTTAGGAGATGCGTACCTGTCGGGGAGGAACGGTATGGGTGTGCTCCTGAGAGGGAGAACCCACCTAATATGCTTTGTTGAGCCTTTCATCTTCCTGCCTGATATTTTTCCCCCTTTTTATTTTATAGTTTTTCGTGTTACAGACTTAGCTGCCTGTTATCATTGGTAGTATAATTATGTTTACGACTTAGGAATTAAAAAGAATATGTGTTTGTAAGGTGATCTGATTGAACTTTTGAGGGTAAAACCCAAATGCCCACACCAGTAGGACTTCCTCCTGGGCTAGTCAGATTCCCTGGAGAAAACTTCCTGTTTTCTGTGAGGAGGGTTTACCTTGAACTGGGAGCTCAGTGTGGGGAGAGGCCTGGGGGAGTTTCATAATTCTGGTGTGTCCAAACTCACATAGTCTTCCAGGTCTCTGGGAAGACCTCTTACTCTGGAAACCTAGCACCCTCTAAAGGATGAGGTTCCAACTTTTTCCAAGATTGTGGAGGGACAATCTCAAGGCCATAGGAAGGTCTGAATATTTCAGCCAGACCTGTTTTTTAAAAAATATATATTTTCTTTGAAAATATTTTACTCTAAAATGGAGAACAACATGACAAGATGAAGATCTTGAACAAAGGATGAGCTGCTAAGAAGGCAACTAGACCAAAATTGAAGAGAGACGCTGGCTTTGACTTCCTGCACGGCCCCGTTTCCTCCAGGCCTCTGACTTTCCTCTCTACAATGGAGGATTAGGGTTGGTTGATTCACTGATATATCACCTTCTGCACTCAACTACTGGTTATTCCATAACCTTTATGAAAATAAGTAAATAAAGCATATAGGGATTTTCTGAGTCTGGCTAACATGGAGGTACTTACCTTGATTTACCCTCATGACAAAACCACAAAACTCAGACACTGAAAGAGTAATGCCCAAGGATGAGAAGAATAAGGTGGGCTCACTCCCTTGTGGTAGTTTCCAGGCTGTGGCTCAGGGAAGGGGAACTGAAGTGGACCCTGCTAGCCTACCTGGGTTGATCAAAGCTAAGAGTTTAGAGAGGCCAAAGCAGCTGGCGTTCCTAGGAATGAATACCAGAGACAAAGCTGCACAGAGAACCAGGAGATCTGCAGAGGGTCCCCACCCTCTGCATGCATGCTGTCCACCATGACCTGCTCCATTAGGAATTTATGATCAGATCACATCATAAGGTTACTTTCTATAGAACCTCCCCTGCCCCTTTTTTTCCTTTCCTTTCCTTTTTTTTTTTTTTTTTTTTTTGTTTGCCCACAGACACTAACCAAAGCCAGGGAAGAAAACTATCAAAGAGTGTTATAACAGTGCCTGGCATCAAACTGAGCTGGAATAGTTCCTCTTCCCAGCCAGACAAAGATTAAACCCACAGGGTACTGGCTGTTAGGGCCTTGTGAGGATACACCAGGGTGTGTTAGGCAGGAAGGAGGGGAGAGCATGACCCAAAGCTCTTACTGTGTTTGCCACAGGGAAGGAATGGGTGAGGCAAGGCAGGCAATTTTGAGGAATTTTAGAATTGGATATTTTAATAAATTCAGAGGGACCTGAGCTATTGGGGCAGTCTCTAGTTTACCAGTACACTCCCC